AAATTTACGGTTATTATTAGTAAGATTTTTTATAATAGCATTTACATAATACTGTACAGCAACATCAGAGCTTTCTGTTTTAAATTTAGTTTCCTCTCTAGATTTCTTATTCCCTGCAAAAGTTTTCACAAGCCTAACACAATTATTTTCAGTCACTGTAAATATGGAAGGGAACCTGCAGAGAAATCTTTTCAATTCCATTTCATTGATTGCTACTCTCTGCACCTCAGGCGGAGCTTGGTCTCTGTGGCCAATAAGCTGATATATTGGAAAATCTGAATACGGACTAACATTGGATAAAACATTAGCATAAAATTCAAGAGCTAATGAGTGATCATAAACCTCAAAACTTGGCACTGGTTGGTTATTTTGAAGCATTATTAAATCAAGATTATAAAATTGGATGGACAATAATATCTTAACAGTTCTACAAAAAACAATTTTTCAGTCAGGATCATTACCTTATGAAATTATTTGTGTTCAATTAAATACATCAAATGTTTGAGTAGTGGATTTGCAACTGCTTCAAAATGTTTCTGAAAATTGGACACTGGAACTGTGATAAGGTAATTCCAACTATTCATAAGATAAACATAACAACAAAACCTTAAACATCATCACCTCCACTACATATGATAAAAGGTATTTGAATATTTATTAATTATTTAAGCAATATTATGATTATACAAAAAGATATAGAAAGGAGAGAGGTGAAAAAAATATCATTAGCTGTGAAATATTGAATTAAATTCGATATTTATTTTTTTAATATATTAAAAGAAGGGATTTCCATGTAGTAATTAAAAGTAGAGTGATATAATTAATCTATTCAAATTAAAAATGAATTAAGTTTGGTAGAACGATTTATTTGTTAATATTTTCGAAAATATAACTGTTACATTATATAAAAGTATTTTTAAATAGTTGAAATACATCAACGTGACTATGATAGACAGGAAAATAAGTATATTCTTTTCATTGGAGGGGGGTTTCGGTTAACAGATGAATGAATTTAAATTATGTACATTGAAAATTAATTATTCATTATAAACAATAAAACAACTTATATTGTTAATATTGAATGTTGAAATTTTATAATATTACAAATCTAAGATAAAAACATTCAATAAGTTTATGAAAATACGAAAATAATAAGTTTGAAAAAGTCTTATCTATTCGAAACTGGTTTTTTAAAGTAACAGAAACAGCTTCAACTGCTACTCATAATTAACATTTTGGCCCATTTGTTGATATTAAAACACCTCCCAGGCTTGACCCAGTGGAGAAAAAGGTCTCATACGTATTTATTCTTTAAATAGTGTTTAGAGCTGCTAAAACTCACAAAGTATTAAATAAAAAAATCCAACAAACTAATAAAACAACCCACATTCAAACGATCCCGTGATCCTGTACCTGGTTAGTAGCTACCGATAACGAGCAGGAGGGCATCCGTGCGACTTAGTACTAATAAAACTCCCTAGAAAATTTAACAAGTTTATTGACGCTATACTCTACAAAATCATATCCCAATGAATTGTTTATGTTGAAAACTTAGGTTAGACGAGCAGCAAAACAGCAAAAAAAAAAATTTTTTTTTTTTATTTATTCATGATATTTACAACTTTATTAAAAAATTAAATACATTAAGTAAATTTGATAACAGAAAATAAAAACATGAAATGACTTGTTGAGAAACTACCCACTAGTAGCACTCTAAAAACAAAATGTATTTACAATAAGAGATCTCGAGGCCATCTTCTTTTCAGACGCCTCGGAGGGTTATCAGGAATAGAAGAGGAAGCAAGGTTAGAGACGAGAGGATTCGGATGGTTCTGAAGTTTATTATGGATGGATTGGGCCAAATCGGAAACATAAGGAACATTAAGGTCATTATGGATTATTTTATTGGTGACAAAGTAAGGAGCATTGAGGATTTTCCGAAGGATTTTGGATTGTAAGGATTAGATAGGAGAGGAATTCGATGGCTTAGTGGAGCCCCAAAGCTCAACTCCGTAAGTCCAAATAGGTCTTATTGTAGTCATGTATATAAGTCTTTTGTAACTTACTGGAAGCTTAGAGCGTTTGTCTAGTAAGTGTTGGAGTAGTCGGAAACGTCGAGCGCTTTCTTGTAGTTTCAGTCTGGTATGAGGATTCCAAGTTAGACGTTTGTCCAAGTGAAGTCCAAGGTATCGGATTTGTTCAACAGGGATAAGTGGAGTATTATTAAAGGATACTGTGTGACATGAGGTCATAGGTTTACGTCGAAGGGTAAAGGTAATTTGATGGGATTTATTAGAATTTATTTTAATCCTCCAGTTTTGACACCATTCTTCAAGGCTTGTGATGTGCGGTTGAAGAGTTTGGGATGCAATGGTTGGGTCATTATTAACGGATAGGACACATGTATCATCGGCATACGTGGTAATAACAGTGTTAGGATGGGTTGGGATGTCAGCTGTATAAACTGTGTAAAGGATAGGACCAAGGATTCTACCTTGAGGAACACCAGCGGACTGGGAAAAGAGGGATGAATAAGCATTATTGTGATTGACTTTTGAGTATCTATCAGTTAGATAGGAACGGATAATGAGGAAGTATGTAGGATGTAGGAATTTACGGAGTTTGTAAAGTAGTCCCGGGTGCCAGACTCGATCAAAAGCCTGTTCTACATCGAGAAAGACTCCCGTGCAGTACATTCCGCGCTCTAATGCAGAGGAGACAACATCCACCACACGATGGCATTGCTGGATAGTGGAATGGGATCTGCGGAATCCAAACTGGTGATCTGGGATTATGTGATTAAAATCTAGGATTGGGTACAGGCGTTTTAGGATGAGTTTTTCTAGGACTTTTCCCATGATGGGTAAAAGAGAGATAGGACGGTAAGAGGATGGGTATTCTGGTGGCTTGCAAAAAAAAAAAAATTAAAAATTTTAAATTGATTTTTTGATAAAGATGATTTTTATGTTAATATGTTTGGTTTTTACATTAATTATATTATGAAATTGGATTGAATATCGATCCCAGCGCTATGTAAATGAGCGGAAGCTGTAATCGCTGGAAATCGGGCTCCTGTCGGAAGTCCTCCGACTTCAGTGAAGGCAACCTGTCTAGAACGGTACTTCCATAATCGAGCACAATGTTCCTTCGGGTTAGGAGTTGATTAATAGGCCTACGCCCTGTGATCGGAAAAACAATCCTAATAAAATAGCCTCGGAAGTTAAATTGAATAAACGGAAATGAAAATACGACTATAATTATTGAAACTTCGAATGTTATGGGATTAAATAATGAAAGAAAAAAGTTGAAATACAGGAAGAACTGAGTGCTTTAATGATGTATTTGGTTTTACTAGATGGAACAAAACTAAAAGGAAAGGGAGTTTTACTTTTATCTGAATCGAGCGTTAAAGATAACTAAATGCAGATTATCATTCAATGAAACGAACACGTAGAAAGATATGACATAGTTTTAACTGAGTTATGTTGGTATGCAGAGCTTATTAAACATATAGACATCTTTATAGTCATGGTCACAGCTTAACACTTTCCTAGAATAAAAAGCTCCCCTCAATCCCCTTCAGTCAGGTTTCCGATCCCAGTTCTCCACCCAGTCTACTTTGTTGAAAATTGCCCAAGATCTTCATCTCTCCATAGACAAACAGAAAATCACTATCCTGGTCCTCTTTGATTTCTCAAAAGCATTCGATTCAGTCAATCATGAAATTCTGCTTTCCAAACTCCAAAACCTTTCCATATCAAATAGTGCTCTAAAGTGGTTCCATTCCTTCTTGTATCAAAGATCCCAAACAGTCATAATACCTAATAAAACTCATTCCTGCTCCCTCTTACTAACCCGCGGTGTTCCTCAGGGATCTTCGCTCTCTCCAACTCTTTTCTCCATCTGCATCAAAAACCTTTCTGATTCCATCCATCGTTCACAATATCACTTATATGCTGATGACCTTCCAAATCTACTTTCCCTTTCATCCTATCAAGATCCTTGAGGCGATCCAAACGCTTCAAGAAGACATTGGTAGCATCAATACTTGGGCAGTGAGCAACGATTTAAAGTTGAATGTTGAGAAGACTTAAGCCATTCTCATTTTTTCCAAGCATCTGATTAATTCCATTCTTTATTATCCCCTACTGTACTCAAATGGCCTATCTACATATTCATTTCCACAATTCCGTTAAAAACCTTGGGGTAATGTTTGATCAATATCTGTCCTGGAATAATCATATTTCCCTAATAATCCGAAAATCCATTGCTACCCTTAAACAGTTCCTAAGATTCCGTGATTCCATGTCTCTTAAAATCCGTCAAATCCTAGTTTCCTCACCCATTTTCCCTCATTTCGATTATGACTGCCTTGTATTCGGTGGACTGTCTGGTATGCTTCAGATCAGATTAAAGAGACTAATGAATTGTTTCATCAAATTTATTTTTGGAGTCGCCAGGCGCTCCCACGTCTCCAGTTGCTATGCCGAGTTAAAGTGGCTCTATCAAGTCTTCCGACGGCAATACTTTCTAGGTGTATTCCTTTTTCGAACCTTTTCAACCAAAAAACCTTCTTACCTTCTCGATTTCTTTTCACCTTGTTCCTCTGTCCGTTCGTTCAACACGAGATTCCAGTTCTGAAACCTGTTTATTCCTTCTCATAGAACTGTTTCTTTTTAAAAATCATTTGTCATACGAGCTACCTCGTTTTGGAATTCACTACCAACCTCCATATGCAAATCCTCATCCTTGATCTCATTTAAACATAATTTATGTATCCATCTCCTCCACAATCAATCTTTCGAATATGTGTAAAATTATGTTAACATTCTTCAGACCTGTCATTCGCATTTAATGTTATCCTACACAGAAGTATATATCGCCCAGATTGTTTATGTGTAAAAATACGTGAAATTTATTTTCATTAGTTAGTTATATGATTCAATGAATTTCTAAAATATGAAAAACTGATAACTCTTTGTATGATAGTAACAGTCTAACAACCTTTCTGCATGATAAGAACGTGTTCCTATTATTTATTATCTTTTAAAATTGTGATATTATTTTTTTTTATGTAGAAATTAGTGAAAAATTGCGGCATTTATAAATTATTACATATAAACGCTTTTTTTATTACTTGTTTTATACGTTTATAACTTAATTGATACCGGTGATCTGTGCAATATGGATACTAAAACATGTTTTGTATATAATACTAACGAATTTTCCAGTTTTTTAGAAGGTATAACAGTCTCTCCATTAATGAAATGTAGACCTTCCTCAGATCCTGTACCAATATCAGGTTTGTTGTTGGATTTTATGTAATTGCATCAATCAGTTGTCTTTATTTTACCTTTAAAGAGTGAACTTCTTATTCAGGTGTTTCTGAATTATCTGCTGCCCATTTACTTAATGACTTGGCTATTTCTGACACTTTATATTGCTCTTACTGCTCCGCTGGATTTCTTGATAAACATCAACAAAGGGCACATTATAAGCTGGATTGGCATAGATATAATTTAAAGCAACATCTAGCCCAAAGGAAAACCATATCTGAGGACAAATTTGCCCAATTAGCAGGTTTATTTAATACTATTATGTACAATAGTTTATTTGATATTGATTACCTCTAACCTATATATAATAGTCAGATTATTTGTGTGGATTTTTATATTTAGTATCTTATATACATGTTTAAAATTTTATGTATGTGATTTATTTTTTAGATGATGTGTCTAGTATTTCTGGTTCTGAAAGTGAGAGTGACACTGAGACTGACCTCAGTTCAACTGATGTGGAGTCTTCGAAGGAAGATGCGCTAATAACTCATCTTATTGCTAGGAGGTCGAGGGTGTTGTTTAACAATGGTTCCGGTCAAGTTATTTCAGTTCATAGGTGTCTTCTGCTTAACAAAAAGGTGATAAATATTTTTATGTTGAATAAAGTTAGGTTACAGTTCCTAAGTGCCACTACTTTATGGTGTCCTGGATAGGATTTTCACTGTAGATGTTGCTGAATATGTCTGGGTACTGGTACATTAGCCGGGCAGGATGAAACCTTAATTGTTATCTATGTTATCTAACATCACGTCACATAACCTCCCTCTTCTTATCTCGCCAAACCTTTCAGTTATTATGAGGAGTTAATCGGGGGTGCGGTCAGATCCGTACATATATTATTACAGTAAGGCTCGAAATCGGTTTTGTACCAAATATAAGCTCTTGTCATGCTCAAATACCATGAATGGGGTACCGTTGGATTCAGAATTTCACGGGGGGTTAGCGAATCGTATTCTCCGCTTTTGTTTTTCTCTCTAAAATAAATAAAGTCGATACAAACATTTTGCTAGGCTTCAATACTGGAACGGTGGTAGGTCTGTACATCGATGCGGGACAAATTGGACCTTGAAGATTTTGATGCGTACAGCAAGACCCGGATAGTTCCTCCGGAATTATCGGATCCTGCGTTTTTAAGCCCATAAACATACCATTTTCGAGATAATGCAAGGCATGGGGTTCGAATCCACACAACCTGACGTTAATTGTAGTACTGTCATTGGATACATGTCTCATTTTGTCGACTTGAGGTCTCTATGATCGAGACAGGAGGAGTTTATATTGTTTATCGATGGTGTTTTTGATCAGCAAGCCATATCATCGTTAATTCTTCACCAATCTCAAGATCGAGCCACCAATTTCGAAGGCTTCCTTCTCCTTCAGGCGGGAAAAATATTCCAATCACCCCGAAAATTCAGGCAAACAAGTTATGAAAAAAAGAAACTTTGTTTGCGAATAACTAAAAAATTACACACTCTTCCCTTGGTTATTCCTATGATTGTATAAAATGTTACTTAATTGTCTACAAAAGGAAAAAAAAAATCATTGAAATCGGACAATTTTTCGCAAAGAAGCAGCTTATTGAAATTTGTAAATATGTTGGTTCCAAACAAAAATGAAGATTTAAATTAATTTTGTTTCCTTTGTGGATTATATTTATGGATAAAGTAACAATTGATTTCTTTATCTTTTGATACGTTGCATTATTTTATATTCTTATTAATTTGGCATTTGATAACAATATGCTGTGTGAATTTTTCGCACGGGCCTACTAGTAAATACTAAATTAAACAAATAGTAATTATTTAATTTTTGCTGATGTTTCGACACACTTTGCATTTCTTCATCAGGGCATAGGATGTAGCACTGCGGGAGGCAGTTGAACCGCCTTATATTATATTAATACTAATATTTTTGATTAATAATATTGAAAATATGAAAATATTATTAATCAATATCTGTACAATAGGCTATATTCAATACATAGCAATAACTATCTCTAACGTTTTAAATATTGTGATCTACACAAAATAACTCAAATTTTATATTTTGTAATTTTTAGCCCTGAAAATGACCCATATGTTTGAGTCAGAATGTCAACTAACCCAATTAAAATATCTTGATTGAAATTCCTGAATATTTTGTTTCATTCAAAATCATTACAGCTTTGATTAAATCTCGACTTAAACTTTCGTTTCAGAGATATACGAAACCCCAATGTATTTTTTTTTTTTTTTAGATCATCGTCAAAGAATATCTTTTATCCATTTTCACTGATAAGAATCTCTGATTGGTAAATCCTCTTCATTGGTTTCAAATCAATTGTAGGATCAACTATCAGAGCCTTCCGTATCTATGCAATATACTTCAAACATGACATGCAATATCATTATAAACATGATTGCAAAAATGTTTGACTCCTTTTGCAATTACTTGTGCAGTTGATCTTGTAATCAGCTGCCAGAATAGAATTAGACTTTGTAACTAATACCCAAAGTTATATAGAATGTTTATAGTTTTAGCTTAGTGAAATTTGTCTATTAATAAATATTTATAGGAAGAAGCAGCATCTGATGATCATCTAGTTGACTTGATAAAAAAACTTCCCAACCGTACAACATGGCTAATAGTTATGATGGGTGGAGGTCATTTTGCTGCTGCTCTGTTCAAAGGTAAGTTAATTGCTTTATAACTCATATATTACGGCTGTTTACCTAAACTCATTCACAAATTCAAGTCCTTATATTAATTTTAATATTAAATATATATTATAAAAATATACCTGCACTTCGGGGAAGGAGGTATAGCCAAACCTATTCTAACCAGAGTGGGAGGGTTGAGATTCATCCAGTCGGTGCGCCATGAAATTAATTTTAACCTGCCTAGGCCGGTTTTGTAACATTGCCACTAAACAAAATCTGGTGTGTCCACTCACAGGACTATCCTACCTATTTCAGAAAAGTTTTTATATCTTTACATATGTCCATCAGGAAACATAACAAATTGAATTAGATTTATTGTCCTGAAAATTGATCAAAGAAAAGATTTGAGTACAATTTATTTGATAAACTAAAGCAGTGTAAATCGGCTTAAGGTGAATTAGTGTCAAAATTACAATATCCTCTATTATTGCTGATCAAAAACTTTTTGCCTTAGCCTAATTTTGTCAAACAATAATTTCTGTTAAAATTAGAGGAAATAGTAAAGCTTGTGTGATGTGGGCAACAGATTTTCTTACTTTCACTTATTTTTTCTATGATTCATCCGTTTCTGACACCAGGATATGAACCCGCAATCTTACATTGGAAATTGAATAGCTGTAATTTTGTTAATAGTTGTCCGAAATGAACAATTTTTATATAGTTTTGTAGTGAATTTCATTACCTTTAAATAAAAAAAAAACAGGCTAAATGTTGTTTTTCCAAACTCAGGGAGCTCTGAAACATATAGATCCGTCGAAAACCGCATATCGGAATTTCGCACCGATCTCTATATCCAGTGCTGGAGTTTTATTTTAATAATCACGAGTGTAAATAATCTAGTTCCCTCATATAAAAGTGGAAGGCTATTCGCTATTCCCGCCAAAAAATAAATTATTTAACAATTAATTTTTAGTAGGTTATTTACAATAGAGATGTTACAATATGTATATATATATATATATATATATATATATATATATAACTTAACTATTTAATCGGGAATATGGTCACTTATTAATTATTTAATAAACTATTGAATGTTCATTTCCTCTATGTTTATTAATCCCGGTATTTTCTTTTTATAAGTCTACGATGGGATCCTCTTCAAAGCTAGAATTTTAAAAAATAGAGCTTCGATCAGGGCAGGGACGCACTGACAGTCTCAGCACCGTCCACTAGCACATATATTAAGCTACTCTTATATAAGTATATATATATATATATATATATATATATATATATATATATATATATAGAGAGAGAGAGAGAGAGAGAGAGAGAGAGAGAGAGAAGAAAGAGAGAGTGAAAACTCTGTGATTGGAGTACCATAGTTTCATAGACCGATGGATTAACGAGGTTTTCATTACCTACGGTTATTTTAAATGTATATGGTTTTTATAGGAACCGAGGCTGTACTGCATAAAACTTTCCACAGCTACACTGTACGCTCGAAACAAGGAGGTTCACAAAGTTCAAAGGATGGAAAAGGTTCACATGCTAAATCTGCTGGTGCTAGTTTGAGACGATATAATGAACAATCCCATTTACAGGTATAGTATTTATGTTGTAGCGTTCCTGTCTGATTAGTATTTTTCTTGTTGTATGGTGAACGGTTGAAACTAGTAATTGGAACCCTCTGAATAGGTGGAATCAAACTTTGATCTTAGAATATTTTAAAACTCATGGCTTCCTAACTTGGTTGCTTACAAAACACAAATTGAAACCTTCTAAATTTTTAAATGTCTTTTATTGTAGCTGTAGTAATGTTTCAACTTTTTAAATTGGGATTCTTCACTTCTCCGTGAAATTCCCTTTTGTTGGATACCTCATTCATCAAAATCCGTCACTCTTGAGAGCTAAAGAAGGTATCTATAAGACAGATTTGTTTATAATATAGATTTATTTAATAGATTAAAGTTTATTAAAATTTTAGTATTTCTGCTTAACAAAATGTGTTGTACGAGTAGATACAATTTTTGGAATCACAATAAAATTTTTACTTTCACTTACCTATATATGTTATATATAGTAAGGGACAGTATTGCAATCGTGAAAATTTTCAAATCTGGTTTTTCAATAGAAATACATGATTTGAGGTTGCCTGAATCCAAATAACAAATCCTGTAAAATGGTCTATGTGTGTTGACTGTCTAGCTCAAAAATGAAAAGTCGTATGCGACTGAAATTGCTTATTTAAGGTCTGTACATGCCTGGAATGTTACAGCAACTTTTTCGCCAAAACGGCTAATCAGAAGTACCGCTTTATATTATCAATTTTACAACTTCTACAATTTTCTCGAAAACAGGTCGAGAGATTTTGATTAAATTCATTTTATCAGTGTGAAATTTAGCAGTTTTTAATATGATATAGTTATTATTCTCATCACATTAGCACCTGATATAAAAAATAGTTAAATATAATGAATGACAAAAATTTATTGGTAACTTAAGGCAAAATTAGGTTTGGAAGCTATACGAAAAAAGCCGAGAGCGCCCGATCTTTGCCGATCCTTTTCCTTTACAGATACCCAATACTCCTCTGTACAGGGCTTTCATATTGTTAGTTTAACTTCTATATATCACTTATCCATAATTGTTAAAAAGGTTTCCATGCAAAATGTTGAGCATCTACTGATACAATCCTAATAATATACAATATTTAATTCTTCTTTTTGCTGGGAAGCTGTATAATATTCTCTATTTTTGGAAATGAAAACTTCCAGGTATACAGCAATTGTTTTATTTGTTAATTTACATGTTAAGTTGACGTTTCACGAAATTATTCTTATTCTCAAAACTTAAAATTCCATATTTTCATAGCGATTCGTGGCTAGAAAAGAGGTAATTATAAAAGAATGCATGTTACAATACATGTTAAAGTTTTTTTGTTACATTAATCGTTTTATAATTACCTAAAGTCTGATGTGCTCCTTTGTCATATTTTATTTATAACATAAATTTCAAAACATGACAAAGGAGCACATAACACGTCATCTAAAGTATGCCACCATTGCAGTTGGAGATAGAGGCTCGGGCAACATATACATTATACAGGCTGAGTAAGCTAAAGAGCTGTTCCTAAATCCCTTGTCAAGGAGGACATTCAAAATAGCTGACTAGGATTGGATGTGACGAAGTGCTAGCCATGCACTCTGATACGCTAATCCGTTAATATCTGGACTGCTAATATGAGGTCGAGATTGACATCAGCAGACAACACAGAAAATGGTATAAATTATTATATAGATGGCTCTCTAACAACATGAACATAACAATGGCTCAGGAGAAGGCATCTATAAAAAAAATAAAGAAAAAGACTCAATTCCTCTTGGCAAATACACTTTGGTATTTCAGTCAGAGACACTAGCAATTTGCCATTGTGCTCAAAACCTATTACGAAGCAAATTGACTGAGAAAAAGATTATAACCTATACTGAGAGTCAGACAGCAATAGGTGCTCTAAATAATTATTATAAATACTCAGAGGTTGTTAAAGAATGCAGTATAGCACTTAACAATCTGACTGAGCTTAAAGGTACTATTTCGCTGGCGCGGTCAGTGACCGCTATTCCACGCTGCCAACCACTGTTGGCGTACCTATTTCGCTGAAACTGCTCTCTGAGGTTGTTATAACTTGCCTATAACCTTCGAGCATTTCGCTGTATCTTCGAAGGTAAAAAGATGGACATAATATAATTATAAAAATGAACATCCTATAATAATGAACATCTCTGACTACCGCTTTTTTATTTGAGTTGGAAAAAGAAGAGAAAATGTTCATAAAGAGAAGGAATATCAGTATTTCGATGTGATGCTCATCATCAAAGTCCCTCTGATATTAGATATTATTAGTTTGGAAAGTAATAGTAATTAATACATAATTGATTAGTAATAATTACATATATTTTTAATTAAATCCCAGCAGGCGATGTTTTATAGTTTTATCAATAGTAATCAGTAAATCACCACTTTAATTTAAAAATACAAATCGATTTTTCAATGGGTGGATTTTGGTATTTGCCTGATGATAAAATTTGTTGGATTCTTTAATTCATTTAATATCGTTTGGATTTAGGTATATTTGTATTTCGCTGTAAAATACTGCTGGTGGAATAAATAAATAAATAATCTTGTTTCTTCAATCTTAAAAAAATTACTATTGCATTGTTTTAGTTTTAAACAATATTTGTTATAATTTTGCCAGACTTGAAAGAAACATAGGAAATAAAACGTATCCACGTGACTGTTATCATCAAAACAATGCTCTGATATGATAACATAACCTACAACCACCAAACCGCCAACAGCTCCACTGCTTCAAGAGGAGTCAGATACGAGCAGCTTAGATATGACGTCATACCTAGACTGCCGAGCAGTGCCAGCGAAATAGGTTCCTTTCTATTCAACTAAAACAGTGGTCAACCGCGGGCAGTCGCGGTCGTGGACCGCGCCAGCGAAATAGTACCTTAATAGAGTTGCAATGGAGTGGCTGCCTGATCATTCGGGCATTCTAGGCAACGAAGAGTCAAACTAACTAGCCAGGTTAGGCTCAGAAACTTCCCATAACTCCTCAGTCTTAGTACTGCCAAAAGAAGGATTAGAGAGACATATGGTAAAAAATTTATACAACATTGGACCGAGAAGAAACGACGACATTTGAAGCTGTTCCTTAAAGGTCCATGTGATAAAAGAAGTAACTGCTACTGAGTTTGGGTAGAGCAACTCTAAAAAAACTTACAGCGATCTACACTGGCCACTGTAAGTTAAATTATCACATGTTCAATCTCTGAGTGACCAACCCGCTATGCAGATTCTATCAGGACTAAAATGAAATAGCCTTTCACATCGTTTGTCAATGTGATAGATTTGCAAGGCTTAGACTGGAGCCATTTGGAAAAGAAGGGACAGATCACCCCAATAGCCATGATACTGTCAATACAGCAAGCCTATTAAGATATGTGGAAACGACCAAATTAACCTTTTAAGAATAAAATGGGCTACATAATGGCGCACAATTGATCCATTAGGGTCGGGGTGCATTAAGCTAACAAAAAAAATAAATACAAATTTGAAAAAAATTGGTCCAGTAGTTTTGGAGAAAATTTCCTGAAATGTAAAACCTCAAATTTTGAGAGGGAGTTAAATTTTTGAATTTTTTGTTCGATTATAATGGTTCACTATTGAAACTAATAAACCAAAAATTGTATGATATTTATGTTTTCATTTCAGCATATTCAAGACCTGATGAAAGCTTGGGCTCCTGATATAGTTAAATGCGACATGATTTTCTACCGAGCGGTGGGGAGAGGTAACACAGGAATCTTGTTTGGTGGTCCACATCCTCCGCTGCTCAGAAGTGACCCGAGAGTTAGAACCATTCCGTTCCCAACGAGAAGAGCAACTTTCAATGAAGTCAAGAGAGTCCATGATCTTCTGTCCTCTGCATTTATTTATGGTAATTTTTTAAGATTTATATTGTGCTTTTATTTAATAACGAAAAGTATTGTGATTATGCAAAAATTTCAATCAGAGTTCACTCTCTGATTTTTTTAAGATCACCTGAGTCCAAATAACCAAATCTGGAAAAATGAACCGTATTTCTGTGACTCTCAAAAAACTATGATATGATACTGATATCACATATTTGAGCTTAGGTATATGCATGGGACGTTACAGCTGCTTTTTGCTAAAATTGACTCAGCAGAATACCATTCATCTTCACAATCTTCTCGAAAATGGCTCTAATGATTTTGATTAATCCTTACTTAGTAATCGGATTGGACTTTGGACTTGGCCGAACATTCAAAAATTTTTCCTTTAAACTACCTTTAATTTCTAATTGTGGGTTGATGGTTGACAGTAGAGAATAATAAGAGAGAAGGATGGTTGGGTTGATCAGTCAAAATAAAAAATAGTGAAAATAAACAATTATATTTATTTTTATATTTGCCAACGTTTTAGTCCAAAGATCAGGCCTTCATCAGGGCTAAGAAAAGAACCAGATAACAATAGGTATGAGAAACTATAAACATTGAATAATAAAGAATTAAAATTAAAAAAGGTGAAAGGTGTAGACTAAAAATTTATGTAGAAAATCTTAACTTAAACTGAAGTAGATAGAGTGTATATGAAAGTAAAACAAAGTAGGTAGAATGATAACAGTTACAGAGAACTGAGAAATAAATAATAATAATGGTAACAAAGCACAGACTAATGAAATAAGCATAATAAAAAATAAGGTAACATAAGAAATGAAAATGGTAATCTTGAAATAAAGTGTAAAACAGAGAAAAGAAATATGAAGTTATATAAGGAAATAATAGACATAAATAGGAAATTAAGATATAAAATCTATCAAAAATACTGACTACGTATAAGAGAATAAAAAGTTAAAATAATGTAAAAAAAAAAGATGTATGAGCAAATGTATCAATATATACTGATTTTGCAGATCTTCTTCAGGGCTAGAACGGACAAGATACAAAAAGATAAAGAGAATTGTGGAAATTACATAATATTTAGACAAAAAATTATAAAAAATATGAATAAGCTTATTGAAATTATAAACAGTAAGTACATTAAAATATAAACAGAGTAAGCTAAGTAACAAGATTCTAAACTAAAGTAAATAGATGGTAACAATTGTTGTAGTGTAATATATAATCTATGCAAATGTGAATAAACTTCTACAGATCCATAGGGGAGATTCAAAGAAAAAGGATATAATATGAAATAATAGACATAAAGGAATGTGGAGAAAGAAAAGAAAAAAGGAAACCAATAAATAAGTAAAATCGGGGCAAGGGTAGGTATTGGGGAAATTTACTGACCTGTTTGGGTAATGAGAAAAAACCTAAAAAATTACTGTATCTAAAATTTGAAGAGATGGATGGATACAAGGGAAAAATACTATATCTATGAAATAATAAATTATAAATATATACATATACATATAAAATAGAATTAAGAGATTAAAGATAAGAGTACAATGTGAATAACAACAAAAATGGAAGAAATAAAACGTACATAGAAGTAAAATATAAATATAGAAATAAGAGACCATACATTGCAGAACTAATTTAGAAGTATAGAGAGGAAAAAAAAATATGAATAATTACATTTGGTTGTACATATAACTTCTTTGAATCTCTCCTGTAAATCTGTAGAAGTATATTCACATTTGCATATATTATATATTACACTACAACAATTTTTACCATCTATTTACTCTAGTTTAGAATCTTGTTACTTAGCTTACTCTGTTTTAATAAGCTTATTCACATTGTTTATAATTTTTTTGTCTAAATATTATGTAACTTTGACAATTCTCTATATCGTTTTGTATCTTGTCCGTTCTAGCCCTGAAGAAGACCTGAAAAGCTGGGTCGAAACGTTGGCTTTTAATAAAATAGTTTTGCCACTATTTAGCCTATTTATGACCACCACCCTGGACCATCTCTCTCCTTTATAATGCAACGGTCAACTATTAAATATTCAGTTAAACATTGTTATTATTTTTATTTTTTTCAGATTCCAATGAAATGTTCCGCACTACTTTTTCACCACCAGTTAAAGAGAATATTGAACCTTCTGAGAAGAAATGGACAAAGTGCACTGACAGCAGTCCTAAAGGAAGTCCTAGGAAGAACAATATTGACCGAGCTAAAGAAAGGCCATCGCCAGTCCGGGAACTACCTGACATAGTTCAGCAACTTGCGGCCATCTCTACTTCTGGCAGTGAGGGAGGTATGGTTTTAAATATTGTATTTTGATTAATTTTAACAAAAGTTGACTTTACGTAATATGGTTGGGTATTTAGTTGTGTGTGGTTTGCAGTCACAATGAAAATGACAGATAAAAAATTACTTTGTTTTGTCCTAATTTTCGTTGTTAAGGAAAGAGCAAGGAAGTTTCGTAGACAACAACCAAACAAAATTATATCTACATATTGTAATGTACACCTTTATTGGAAGTGGGTATATATATACAATAAATTAATGTTTAACAGTTAAAAGGCAAGTTAATTTAGTTCTACTAGTTCAGGAAAAATAAAATGGTTGCTCTATAGTTCCCCAGAAAGGAAAATCTCAAAGAGGAGAGGGGACAAAGGATTTTTGTTTCAGCAAGCAGTTGGTGTTTGGCTGGGATGAAGAGAGGATAGGAGAAGTGATCCTGGCTCCAGTGGGTAAAACCCAGTAATAGTATTACCATCTTGGAAGTTGTTTGCAATTACAAGAGAGAGTACCTGACAGGGAGCTTGAGTTGAGTAGAAGAAATTGTCACCATTTTGGAAGATGTGTTTGGCAAAATATAGGAAAATGTTAAAAGACAAATGAATTTAGTGCAACTAAGGAAGAAACAGTGTATATAGAAAAAGGTTGGCTTGCCAATCCATACTTCACTTTATTTTAAAATCGATCAGTGTTTAGTGTAGTTAATGTTAATCTGTCTGAATTTTTTGATCTGATTGTCAGTAACCCCTATCTTGAGATAAAACAATTATAAATTGCAATTTAATATATTAATACTCTTATAATTCTGTTTATTATTTAATAACGTCTTATTTATTTAGAAAGTATCCCAACAGTATAAAGTGATCTTCCGAGTTTATATTATTAGTTTAAAATATAATAGAAATATTACAAAATATATTGTTTCACAAAGGCTCGAAATTGGTTTTGTACACAATATAAACTCAAATGCCTTGAAAGAGAGGTATCTTTGGATTGAGAATTTTATGGGAGAAGATGGAAGAAAGAAGGTTAGCGAATCATATACTCCGTTTTGGCTTTCAAAATAATCAAAACTATCTAATTAAACATTTTGCTTGGCTTATACACTGAGACAGTGATAAGTCAGTCAATCAAGATGGGACTAATTGAATTATTGAGATTTTTATATGAACATCATAAATACCCGCTTAAGTTCCTTGTAACATATATATCAGGCCCTTCATTGCATTGTTTTCGAGATAATATAAGGTAAATGGTTTTAAACTTCACAATCTCCTGTTAATTGTAGTGTTGCCATAGCATACATATCACGTGTTGTCGACTAGGTTCCTATGATGGAGAGAGGAGAAGTTTATCTTTATCTATTGTTTCTTAAAGGTGTTTTTTTGTCGGTACGCCATATTTTTTATCAAATCCAATGAATAATATGACAGTTTGGCAACTGATCTACAAAAATGGGCAAAGTCAGGGAAATTTTTTAGTATGTAAATATTTTGGTTTATTATTTTCAATAATGAACCATTGTGATCGAACAAAAAATTCAAAAACTTAACCCCCTCTCAAAATTTGAGGTTTCACGTTTCAGGATGCGTAGAATCCGAAAAATGAATAAAAATTTTTTTGTCCGTCCACCGTCCGCGCATTTTCTCGGTAACTACTGGACTGATTTTTTTCAAATTTGGATATAAAATCAGAGGTCACCCGAGGATGATCCTCCTTCATTGAAATTACTACCTGCCTTTTACTTTCAAAATGGCGGCCGAAAAACCTTCGCTGCTATAGACTGTAGCTCCTAAACGAATGTACCGATTTCAATGAAACTTCACTAAAGCCATTTTCTTGACACCCTTTAAATTTATCTATATAACATACCTCAACGAAAAGAAGCTGGAAAAAAGTTACAAGGGATGTAATAGTAAAAGTTTAAAAGTTAACGAAATTTCCAAAAAAAAAATCATTAAAATCGGACAATTAGGAGCAAAGATATGGTCTCCTGTTTTTTTTATATGTTCTACTCCAAATGTTATATCCTCTGTTTGGTTTTTAAATTTTGAATTTGTTACTGAAGTAATGCTATTTGTTTTAGTATATTACTAATGATTAAACAAAAAAAGTTTAGTCCAAAAAAACTTTTAAGTTAAAAGAGCATTTATTAACTAGAAATGTCACATCTAGTGTCATATGGATAATTATTATGCTGTTTATAGTAATAAAGAAACTAAATTACTTATGGGAACCTACATTAATATTACAATCTCCTGTAGTTCACTTTATTTAATATTAGAGAAAATTGGAGCTTTATACACTGACAGGCAAAAAATTCCACCCACTTGATTTTTTCATGTTGTCATCTAAAAATATTTCACCCACTTGTAAAAAAAGTTGTATTTGTATATAATACATGGTATTTGTAGATAATACTTAGTATTTATGGAACTTCTTCGAGCTGATGAATCGCTTGAACAACGGTAAGGTGTCGGTTTCCTAAAATTCTCAAAGTCAAAAATCGGTCATCCCGTGGTTCTGTTACCCTAGGCCGTCCAGAACCGGGCCTTCTATTGTAAGAACCAGTTTCCCGAAAACGCCTGACGGCGTCTCATAAAGTTTCATATGGAACTCCGATGGCATTAGCTGCATATCTAATGGAACGTCCTTCATCAATAAGTGCCACACCACGCGCAACATCCTCAGCACTAAGAGGCATTTTTAAACTTAATATTGAAAAAATTAAAAGCCGGAGACTAGGAAATGTGCTGCAACTAATGATACTGAATAAACATTTTGATTCCATAGAAAGTAAACATTGGAATCTAGAATCATTTCATTGAATTAAGGATTAAGGGTTATTGTCCTCTATATTAACATTCCTAATTGAAAATAAATGTGATAAAAATAAATTAATAAAAATTTAGTTTTTTAAAATAAAAAATCCTCATCAAGCTCAAAAATTACATCCTCTAAAACATTACATTTGTTATTTAAAAAACTGATTTTTTTTTTTACATAACATCCAAATCCACTTGCTCAATCCCTCCCTAGCACTACTCATCCCTACAATCCTCCTCGAAGGTTGAAGCTGCAGTGGCCCACAGACCTGTTCTAAGAATTTATTGGAGTTCTGATAATGGCCAGATTCTCCACTCAAGCCATGTATGTCTGGTTATAGCACCTCTGCTCAGCCTCTACTGGTCCTTCATACCAGTAATGCGGCTGAGTGAGAGGCGCTGGGATCTCCTAGAATTTGGCCTTTCCTTACATGAGTGGGGAGAAAGGCTTGGCTCGTAGATAATGACTGAATGAATTTTGCGAATATTGTAGCATGTGTGTATTTAAGTAGTTATTTTGATTAGTTTAGTTTTTTTTAGTTTATATACATTTAATTTTACTATTATTATTTTGCTGTTTATTTATTTTTATTTATTGTACATACACTATGTACTTCTTAGAATTTATTTATTATCAGATAACATATATTTTTTGTCTTTTTAGTAATAGTTAGTAAATATAGTAATATAAGTTAGTCATAATTTGGTTTGGTTGTTGTCTTCTCTTTCCTCAGCCATGATGATCTTGTGCATAAAATAAATGTTTTTCAGTATGATTGCAGCACTCAACTAACTTCCCAACCACTAAATTTTATGTAACTTTCCCAATGTGTATTAGTCATTTTTTTCAAAATGGCAGAATTTTTATCCTTAACATTTTAGTTGAAAATTAGGTGTAGCATGATTTAAAAAAACAAAAAACTTATGTTCCTTTAATGATGAGAAAGGATCACCTTTTTAACAGGATTTTATATTAATGTTTTAGTCAAATGGTAAAAATCCTAGTCCCCCGGGAAGTAGATTACGTACTTGAATCAATGGGAACAAGTTGACTAAATATGTTTAAAAAAAAATTTTAAAATGATCTTGAAATTCCACCATTTTCAGGAAATGTTCCTGAAATACCTTCAAATTCATGTTTAACTAAAACTATTGGGTTGTCTGGAAAATAATGCCGGATTTTGGTTTAAAAGGAAAGATTTACAACTGTTTTATTTAATCAAAATAGTCTCCGCTACTATCAATACATTTCTGCCAACATATTCGTAACTTTTCCATTCCCTAGAAATAGAATTTCTCATCTTTAGAATTAATAAACTAAAACATGTTTTATAATTACCTTTGTCCATTAAATTTTTTGTCTCATAAGTAGTGGCCAAGGTGCCGAAAAAAAATGATAATGATGAGTTGGGGCTTTGGAAAATGTTCTGCTGTTTCTCCTTTGTCAAGCCACTGTCCAGAACGTCTACCGTTATCGTAAAGTATCCACTTTTCATCGCAAGTATCAATTATGGACAGAAAAGGGTCATTTTGGTTTCGGCAAAGTAGTGTAGCACAAACTTCATAATGCTGGTATTTTGGTGGTCGTTTGATGGGAGTGGAACCCAACTTTGAAGCTTTTTTACCTTTCCAATTGCCTTGAGGTGTTAATCGACAGTTGATTTGCTAAGATTATGTTTCCCTTCAAGTTCTTGAACAGTTATTCTGTGGTTTTCTTCCACCAAAGCCCGCAGAACGTCATCAAGAGAGGAAGTCCTTCCACGACCTTCTTCGTCTTCAAAGCTGAAGTCTTCCTCCTGAAATTTTTTGATACACTTAAACAGATTGTTATATAGAGGGTTATTTTAAAGAAAACTCAAAATTTTGGGTTATTGTCTGGACAACCCAATAGTATATTTAATGTATTTTTAATATTTTTTTGTTTATTTGGCTAATTTTATTTATAATTGTTTTATTTTATTTTGTTACAAACATATGCAGATATTGGAAATCAATGCAAGTACAGTTTCCAAGATTTTTTTCCTTAGTTTGTTTATTTTATTGAATATTATAATTAGTAATGTTTATTTTAAAATTAGATCTAGCTTTTGTTGATGAAGAGCTATCATTTGTTGATTCGTTGAAGGAGTACGACGATACCGTACCTCAGCATGTTAAGGACAGAATTAAGAAGGGGAAACCGAAGAAAAAAAAACGTGAAGTCCCAGAAGATGATAAAGGTACTTTTTTATTTATTATGTTATTAAAAATGTCTGCCAAGTAAGTCAGTATATCTTCCTCACAAGTTGTATTGGGTGAAGAAAAATTTTAAAATATCAAATTCGCAAAGGGAGGTCTTTTTATCTTGCACATGTGCAGAAGTCGACATTTTTGCACCCCTTGAATACTTCTCTCAGGTAACGACGCCGACCTGAACTGGATAAGTCGGCAATTATTATCATCTTTCTACCCTTGACCATCTCTAGTTATTTTTTGTTCATGAAATATGTATCTAATTTATGATAAAGATTTAAATTTACCAATCAGCCTTCTTTTTATACACAGCAGAATAGAAATTATTTTCTGACAATGTTACGCTATTACAAAGTTTTTTGGGCATTTTTAATGGAGCTAAACCTTAATTCTTACAACTTGTAAATAACCTTGTTCGGCAGATATTGTAAATAATCTGTTTGGCGACAATTGTAAATAGCCTTACATTTTGTCGGGGGTCTAGGTTATTCACACTCGTGAATTTTAATTTTTTAAAACAAAACCCCGACACTGGTTATAGACTTCTGAGGGTGTTGACTGTTGGGAATTCAGAAACCTAATGAATCGGAAACAAGAAATAATAATAATATATATTGTAACGTTCCTCTTTCCCTCCAAAATCAAACAACGAGTTTCCTTTTTCAATATACTATTTATTTTAACACATAACATAAATTCTCAGGTTGGGTTCTGACAACTGAACGCTCATTCAACATTAAATAACTATAATCTACACTAATTTACTAATTACTAACTACACTTATATGTAATTTAAAATAGTTTTATAAAATAATTTTTCCCGGTCTAAACTTTTGGTTCTATCCCTCTGTCAACATAAATGACATTGTTAGCACTCACCCAAATGTTTACGCCTGTCAGCGAAATAATCTCTTCTTACTTACGAATGTCCCGTTTTCTGTACCACTTAATTCTTTTCTGCTATGTTTTTTTCTTCCAAGATAAAATAATCTCCACTAGTGGCCTCTATCAACACTCGAACCGGCTAGGACTCCTTTTTCACTTTCTCAGCTTGCTGGCTAGCACCTTCTCTCTTGGCAGCTCGTCACCTTCTCTCTTGACAGCTTGTCACATTCTCTCTTGGCCGCTATCACCTTCTCTCTCGGTGGCCCGTCACATTCTGAGTTACATGAGGCTTGCTTCCCCCACCATTCGCACACACTTTCTCCCCATAGTTCGGGCTGTTACCACTTTGGCGCCACTATTTAAATGCCATGTAATGTTGACATTACAATATATATATGAAATGTGGGACTGATTAAATAGACTTTGAATGAATTGATTTACTTGGTTTGTTATTCTTCAATTGTGAGGCCTATAGGACAACTAAATAAAAGGACTATTCACTCCTGTCTAACAAAATAATTTATTTCCACAACTGTAATAAATTGAATAAATGAATTGATCTTCTTAATCTTCAGTGTAGTGGGTTTCTCTTCTCAGGTAACCTCCTTCCTTTTTCCTGTCCCGACTTCAAGTGAGTTCTTCTTTGTTCTCCCACCTCCTTCTCCAGCTACTGCCACCTGATACCACTTTTCCAGGCTTCTTCCTTTCTTTGTTCTGTACCTTTTTTGTTGATTGTTTATCGATTTGATACTTTTCAATAAACAACTTGTCCACTGCATAATTGAGTACAATTCATAGTGCAACCCTACATTCCAATACACTCCTCATTTCCCCACTCGATATCACATAAAGGAGTTAATACTAGAGGACATCTACTACAAGCTAATTTTTATCAACTCATTAATGATATTAAAATAACAAAAATCCTATTTATTATATCGACGGTAGACAATAAAGACTTCATAAATCCATCTGTTTTCGTAAACCCCATAATCCAGTTTCTGAGCTACATACGAGGGTGGTATGAAAAGTTTCCGATCAACGTGAAGATGGCAGCACTTGTAAATAAAAGCAACTGAATTTCGTTGTTTATCTGTTGACAGTTACCCACCAAAGTTCCAGCCATTTTGGACGCACAGTTTTTGTGTTAATGGACAAAATTTAGTATCAAGCTGTCATTAAATATTTGTTTTTCAATGGCCATATGCCTATGCAAATCATAGATTATACGCCTGAAACAAAAATACAGTCCAAACAGTGGACTGCGGAGGGGGAACCACCTCAAAAAAAAGCAAAAACTATTTTCTCGGCTGTGAAAGTAATGGTGACTGATTTTTGGGATAATCATGGAATTATTTGAATCGACTATCTTCAAAAAGGAAAAACCATTACAGGAGCATACTACACATCCATTACTTGACAAGCTGAAGGCAGAACTTGCAGGAAAACAGCCACATTTACAGAAAAAGAAAATCCTGTTTCACCAAGCAACGCACCGTCTCACCTCAGTGGTTGCCATGGCGAAAATCCACAAATTACGGTTTGAACTGCTTACTCACCAGATCTAGCCCCAAGCGACTTCTTTTTGTTCTCTTATCTAAAAATTGCACTCGGTGGACAGAAATTTTTGTCAAACGAAGAGGCAATCATTTTCGTGAACAATTATTTTGCAGAGTAAAATGCCGAGTACTTTTTGGACGGGTTGTAGAAATGGGAGCATCGCTGGGAGAAGTATGTAGGGTTAAAAGTAGACTTATGTTGAATAATAAAAAAAAAAAAAAATCAGAAAAAAGTCTTGTATTTTTGCTAGGACCTTTTCAGACCACCCTCTTATATATGTCTAGAGAGATACGAATTTTTATTGTAGATTAATTTTATGAATTAAACTATAGATCTAAAATGAAAATATATAAGAGGCTTAAAACTAAATATTAATTTAGGGCTAATAATATTTCTAAATTTAATGGTAAATTTTCTGTTTCCTTTTTATCACCATTATGCAGATTTAATTTTGAGAATTGATTTTGTCAAAAAAGTTTATATTTAGTTATTGTAAAATTCTAAATTATTTTGTATTTTAATAAAATTATACTTATGTTAATTAAAATAATTTTTTTAGAAGTTGTGCGAGAAGATGTTCAAGAATTATGGAATGCCATACATTCCTCATGCCTGGAAGGTGATTTCGAGAAATTGAAGGGCTCTTTAGAAAACAAGAAGCCGTCGATCACTTCCGAAGAGTTATCCACGGCATTAAATCAGAAAAATATTCTAGGTGAAACAATATTGCATAGCATGTCAGCGGCTGGGAAGGGAGATGCTGTAAGGTCATTAAAATTTATCTATACTAAATTATAAAACTTTAGAGTTCGATAATTTTAGGTTTCCAGTTTGATTTGAAAAATTGTTTTTGCACTGGATATACTTTTATTGATGAAGGTTTTAGGCTTCCTATATTTCTAAGAATTGTTTTAATAAATATTTATATCATAAACAAAAACTTTTGTTACCTAGTACTAATAAAAACCACAGGAGATCTTTATTATTATCAGTTATGTAATAATCATGTATCTGGTTAATTTCTGGAACTTAAAAAATTATTTATTTAATGTTTAAAATGTACAATAACATGACAAGGAACATTGCATGGCAGTGCAGTCTGTGGTACACACCTCTTTTTAACATGTTATAAACATCCACATGAAACTTCGTGAATTGTTTCATCTCACAGTAACCTATTCAAAAAGTATTTTTACCTTAAACTTAAAAAAATATGGAATATTAAATACTAAATTTTAATCCACAAATTTTAAAATAGATTTCAGAAGAAGTTTGTCTGAGGTGTGGTCAATACTTAAAATATTATATTACATAATGGTAAGTTTATTGCATTGTCTAACGTTTCGATCTACGTTGTAGGTCTCCTTCAGGGCATTCAATCTAGCACTGCAGAAATCAGTACAGACATTGAGTTGGACAATGCAATAAACACACTTAGTCCAGTCAATGAATACCCTTAAAGATGATGTAGAGTGCGTGAGCAGGGACCTAATCCATTCTTTCATAAACTTGTTCAAGGTGCTTAGGATATGAACATATCAAAAGTCCACCACCATGTCTAGGTGGTGAGCCGGGGAACGAGGGGGCGGAAGAGAAGGTCACAATTTTAATATTTTCACTTATATGTGATTCACTTAAATAATATTTCACTGTGGTGCCCCGAGATACTACCATGTCTCTCACCACTACACTGAGTTAGAGTGGCTCTTCCCCTCCATTCGAAGACAATATTTCCTAGGTACGTTCCTCTATCATATCATCAACAATCATCGTCCTTCCTACGTCTACAACCTTCTCCAATTCAAGTCCTCAGTCCACTCCCTCTCCACACGATCTCGACCTTCCGACCTTTACATTCCTTCTCACAGATCTGCCTCGTTCCAAAACTCCTTTATTGCACGTTCTGTTAGTTTCTGGAATTCCCTTCCTATCAAAATTCGACATTCTTCATCCTTATCTACATTCAAAACCCTCCTATTCCAATTCCTGTCCCAAAAACAGTCAGGCACCAGCTAACCTTTTATGTAAAATTACATATTATCTATAAGACCATATTCACATATAGCTCATAACCTAAATACTTATTATAGATTCGACTTTTTTTCTTCTTTTTTTTTTTTTTTTCAACAGAAACAGATTTTACTGTTAAGAAGAATATACATTTATTTTTTCTGTATTTTTTATTTTTTCTAAAAGGGTTTATTTATATTTTAACATTGTACATAGTTTTAAGTATCTTAGTATGGTTTCAAGAGTTTTTTATATAGATTTTTTTATTTTATTTTGTATATAGTATGTATAACCAATATTTTTTTCTTTTCTTTTCTTTAATGACCTATCTTTATCTTAATTTGTTATGTTTGTTTTTATCTGGCCAGATGTAAAATTTTAATTTCTGTACTTTTTTGTTATTCTGAAGGGACTTCGTCCCAGAATAAAATTATTTTTCTATTCTATTCTATATCTCAAAAACGGTGCATCACAGGAGAAATTTTTTGTAGAGTAAATTAAAGTTTAAAATTATCTAAAACTTTTACTCTATAGGTTTATTCCAAATTCTGAACCGTTTTTGAGCTACACGCTTGTTAAAAGATGACATAAAAAAAAAAAAAAATCATTTTGCCTCACATTTTTCATCAAACACTCCTTCATATCATCTAAGATATTCATCAGAGAAAGAAATTCATTTAAAAGAAGTTGTAGATAGTTAAATTCCCTATTAGAAAATATATACACATGCAAATTAATCTACTACCGATCTAGGGTTACAGTTATTTTAAAATGTCATTTTTAGAAAATGTTGTTTATTTCATATTCATGACACACAACTTTTGTTTGTTTATTTAATCTATGATATTGTTGAAATTTTAATCTATGAATTTCTTTCTCTAATGAATATCTTAGATGATATGGAGGAATGTTTGATGAAAAATGTGAGGCAAAATAATTTTTTTTCGAAAATGTCTTTTTTTCCAAGCGTGTAACTTAAAAATGGTTTATAATTTGGATAAAACCTATAACATAAAAGTTTTAGATAATTTTAAACTTTAATTTACTCTACAACAAATTTCTCCTATGATGCACCGTTTTTTAGATATATGCGAAAAATAAAAAATTGTGACCTTTTCTCTCTCCCCTCCCCTCATTCTCCGGCTCGCCACCTTGACGTGGTGGTGGACTTTTGATATGTTCATACCCTAAGCACCTTGAACAAGTTTCTGAAAGAACCGCTTAGGTCCCTGTTCATGCACTATACACCACCTTTTTGGGCATTCGTTGACTGGACTAAGTATGTTTATTGCAGTGCCAGACGGAATGCCCCGAAGAAGACCTACAACATAGCGTTGGACAATGCAATAAACTTACCATTATGTAATATAATATTTTATTGAATATTTAATAGTTGCCTGTTGCATTATTAAGGAAGGAAATAGTCCTGATTGGCGGTCATAAATAGACTAAATAGCGGCAAAACTATTTAGTCTATTTATGACCGCCACCCTGGACCATCTCCTTCCTTATAATATTTTATATATTGACCGCACCCCTGACTAATTCTTCTGAAATTATTGAAATCTATTGTAAAGGATTTTAAAATTTATAGATTAATATTTAATATTCTGTATTTTATGATTAAGATACTAAATACTTTTTTAATATTAAAATTATTTAAACTGAGTCAAATTTTCACAATATATCTGTATTGTTTCTTTTAAGGTAGGTTTACTCATTTCACAAATTATCGGAAACATGAAACCATAAATTGGCTATTTTTATCAATTAGCGTTTTTCTCTCTCTGGTTCCGACCAATCCATTTGCTGTCTGTTTTTAAGAGAAATCAAAGGGAGTTTGGATAAGTGCTATTATCACTTTTAAACATTTCATGACTGCTTTTGTTGCTTAAGGGATCTTGAATTTAATGGTTCCTGGTACAATTTAAATGAATTTTCTTTATCCACCTTCTTTGATGAATTTTAGGCCCTCTTTTATTTTCTTCTGCTTCTTTTTAAAATTACAATAGGTTTGGGCAAATGTAATTCCTGTCTATAATTTTTGATCCTTTAAAAAAGCAAGAACGTATAAATGCCCTGTTTATCGTATATTTTGTCTGTTTGTATTTCTGCTGTTCTTGAATTGTGTAATCATATAGGTATACATTACTTACATTTTGGCTCTTACTTCATCTTTAGGTGTATTGTTTATCTTTGCTTTTGTGCTGTATAGTTAATTTAAAAATTAAGACGAGGTAATGGCCAAAACATAGCTAGTATAAAAGAAACAACATGGAATAAAATATATGCTGAAAATTTGATTCAGCCTGAATAATTTTAATATTTAGTATTTTAAAATTTATTTTTATAGGCTCTTGATGTTGTATGGAGCAGATCCTAATATTCGTGACAAGAAAACCCAGACGCCATATGACCATGCAACTGACAAGTCAACAAGGAATGTATTTAGGAGATTTAGGGGAGACTATCCTGAAATGTACGATTACTCAAAGGTTAGTTTCGGTAATATTTGAACTGAATAATTTATAATTTATTTTTAATTGGATCGATCGATGGTTGGCTGTAGTAAATAATTGAAGGGAAGAATGCTTGGGGTGATCAGTAAAAAAAAAAAAGTATGGCAAAAATAAAACTAAATATATTTATTTATTTTTACTTTTTTTTTTTACTGATCACCTCCAACCATTCTTCTCTTCTATAATTAATTTTTTTTTGTTTATCTAAAATAGTAAATTTGGTTGATTCTCACTAGACTCATATTCCTGACGCTCTGACTGAGGAGTTGGAAGCAGAGATTGCTGAGAAAAAGAAATTAGCTAAAAAAGCCAAGAGACAGAAAGACAAAGAAAGGAGGATTGCAGCAGAAACGAATAAGAGAGAAGACGATGAAAAGAAACGATTTTTGAAGTTGAGCGATAGAGAAAAGGTTAATATTGTCAAAAATTTATTCATTAGTTTTAAAATTCAATAAACCGTATTTTTAGTTTTAAAAACAGCTCTTATCTAACATTTTTCTGGAAATAAAAGACATTGAATCTAGCTCTTTTTAGTCTAACCCAATGAGTTTGAACTCTGGATCGAGACATACTTTTGGTTGTTACTGCTTTGGTAGTTGATGTAGCGTGCCTCTGACCACATTCAATATTTAACATAGAAATGTTCGCTGATTTAGCCCGGGCCAGATATCTATCATTTCATGATAAACTCCAGTCCCATCCAAATCCACTTGTTTCGAGCCTTGCTTCTTTCTCGATTCCAGATAATACTCCTAAGCGTCTGAAAAGGAGATGGCCTCTTGATCTTTTTACCAACAATTATTTAGGGAGTAATACTATTGGGTAGGATCTCCTCAAGCCTGTTCATGTCATTATTTCTAATTTGTGTATATTTACTGTTTGTATTTGTATACAGTTGTAAATTTCATTAAATAAACAAAAAAAAAGTATATAGAAATGTGAAATAGATTTTTTTGGCTTTAACTTTATTTTCTGTTTCTTTAATAGTTCATTTTTTGAAAATTTTCTTACTTAAAGTTAAATAAATAAGAAATAAGAAGAAAACAAGGGAGTGGGGTTGCTCAGTGCGTACAGTGTTGTGTTCCCAGTTTTGAGTCTGTTGCATCAGCTGTAGATTGATCCTGGTGTATAGAGACACTACCTCCTAGGGTACACCGAACCTCTGTAAAGTAGGTACTTTTAATTAAATAAATAATTAGTGGAAGAACTTGGTGGATGAGTGAGATTTTGGTCCAACCACCTCCGCGTTCAACAGTACTGAACCTAAAATCATTCATGAATTGTAATAGTACAGATGGTGAATTGCTTACAGAAAAAGTATTTCAATCACTCTAATAACGATACATATAATAATATTCTTTAATGTAAGTATTATGTAGCATAAAGAAATCTACTCTAGTGATTTATTTTGTGTATTTTAATGTACTCAATTAAGTACATTTTTTGTATAAAAGGTGCAAACAATGTTGTTGTTTTTTTCTAGAATATTTTATTTGGAATATTATATTGGTCTAATATCATGAAGAAGTAAAGATATAAAACTAAAATTATTTAAAGTTTATAAGTTATATATTTTTATTTCTTTTCTAGCATCATTCTATAAAATTAACTTATGTAACTTCGACTGCTACATAAAAGTGTTTAGGCGCCAGTTAGTATTTTTTAGAATGTTGATGTGATATTTATGTTCTTTTATCCGCATTTATTTGATTTTGTTTTCATTTTTTCAATCTTAAGAATCCCTGGATCGGCATAATGTTGACTGTTAAATTATTTATTGTGATTTCAGAAGTTTAAACTTTGTACCTCTGTTCATTTTTTTTTTTTTCATTTTGAATTTTCGATCTCATTATTTAATCGTATATTTTATGTGTTATAGAGAGCGCTGGCTGCAGAAAGGCGGGTCCTTTCGGCTGGTGGGAGACAAGGTGTTATTGCATCATCTCGCTGTTACGATTGCGCGACTGACATTACTGGCAAAGTTCCGTTTGAGTACAGTGACAAACGTTTCTGTTCAATGGCATGCCTCAAGAAGCACAGGGCGAAAGAAAAGAAACAACAAACCTGATCAATTTATTCAAGAGAATGGAAATAAGACAATTTTTGGACCAATTTTTCATAATTTATCTTGCAATAACAGAATTTCTGTATTTATTGTACCTTATATGTTGTTTTTTTTAATTGAATTTTTAAAGATATTAAAGGTTGAAGTGATTTTTTTATTTGTGGTTATACCTTTATTATTATTATTATTAAGTACTCGTTTTTATTGGATTGTTAACGTTTTTAATTAATTAATTAATAATGAATTAAAAATTGGACCACTTTTAATCCCTAGGAAAACAATAGTCCCATAAAAAAATGAGGAAAATAAATATGGATATATTTGGATGGATATATGAAAAGCAATATTTCTGAATATGATCATATTAAGTACACTGTGTTTCTGATTTTGTTGCTAAAGAAAACGCCTGATCTCACAAGTTCATTTAAAGTACCAAATTATAAATATGCAGATCACTTAAAAATTATCCATGTTTTTTTAGATTTAAAGAACTATTATATTTTGATATGAAAAATGCTTCTATTCTTATTGGATAAAAATCTTAAAGAACAATGCGTGTTTCTTAAAAGAAATGCTTCTTTAGAAGTAGTATACTTCGACATTGTGATAACTGGCCACTTTCCAAAAATTCATTTTTAAAAATGCAAGTAAAGAAATTTTAAAAAAGTATCCTGAAAGTTTACCTTAGAAAGAACTCTTTCATTAAAATTAAAGAGATTAAACCTAAGATTTTGATGTTATATGTTCTAATTTGTTCTTTAGTTCTATCCCTTTTTATTTTTTTTAAGTATTAGACTAGACATTTTTATTTAAAAGCTCTGTCAATTTCGCTTAAAATTTTTTTTTTTTTAAATTCCAACCTCTGCTATAAGAAAGCCATTTATTTATCAAGAAATTATATATGTTCCGAAATAGATTAAAATGTTTTACAATTAATTATGAACAATCGTTTGAACCTATGCCATAGTGTGCTAATGCTGACCAATTCAACTAGATGTTTCCAAGCAGCTCATTCAAACTTTTTATTGGTAATACCTTGCTAATTAAATAATAAAGGAAGGTAGGACTGACTTTTTCTGAGTTACTGCGGAAGCTTACTGACTCGCCAAAAAAGAAACATTAACGGACAACTTTGATTTTATAGAATGCAAAATAAGTAATAATGATGTAGAGATGGTTGACAGTTGATATAATATGAGAAGGAGTTAATCGGGGAGTGCGGTCAAATTAATACTAAATTAAACAGATAGTAATTATTTAATTTTTGCCGACGTTTCGACCCACTTTGCAGGTCTTCTTCAGGGCTACAAAACATACAAAGATACAAAACATGGTGAAAATAAAATAAATGAATATAAGTAGATATAAAATAAGAAGTTGTCAGATAAGAAATAAAAAGATGATATTAGAGATATAGTGGGTGACAATGTAGTTAAAATATCAAGTATTATATATGTAGAAGGTACAAACAAATGGAAAATAAGTATGAATAAAAATAGAAAATAAAGACCTTCAAAGTGGGTCGAAACGTCGGCAAAAATTAAATAATTACTATCTGTTTAATTTAGTATTTATTTGACTGCACCTCCCCCCTCTCCTCCCCGATTAACTCCTCATAAAATGAGTAATAATCGAAAAAGAAACCAACTCATGAGCCATGTCTGAATATGCTGACTAATCATTATGTAAATGGTTTGGGAAAAGTTTAAAATATATTGAGTAACTAATTTTCAGGATGCTAACGGGTCGTGATTAACTCCATATGCATCTTTAACTTATTGGTGTGCCAGACGATTCTAAATTGATGCTTTGTGCATGTGAAAACTTTGCCATTGAACATCTTTTTATCTGCTCTGTATTAGAAGATATTTTAAATAACTTCATAAAGGTTTACAACATTTATTAATGAAATTAAATAGTACACTGACTAGACTAGACTGAGCTGCTTGGAAACATCTAGTTGAATTGGCCAGCATTACCACACTATAGTGTAGGTTCAAACAATTGTTCATAACCAATTGTAAAACACTTTAATTTATTTTGGAACAAATATAATTTCTTGATAAATAAATGACTTTCTTATAGCAGAGGTTGGAATTTTAAAAAAAAATATTTTTTAAGCGAAATTGACAGAGCTTTTAAATAAAAATGTCTATTACTTATTTTATAAGGAGTTAATCGGGGAGGAGGGGGGGGAGAGGTGCAGTCAAATAAATACTAAATTAAACAGATAGTAATTATTTAATTTTTGCCAACGTTTCGACCCACTTTGAAGGTCTTTATTTTCTATTTTTATTCATACTTATTTTTCATTTGTTTGTACCTTCTACATATAAAATACTTGATATTTTAACTACATTGTCACCCACTATATCTCTAATATCATCTTTTTATTTCTTATCTGACAACTTCTTATTTTACATCTACTTATATTCATTTATTTTATTTTCACCATGTTTTGTATCTTTGTAGCCCTGAAGAAGACCTGCAAAGTGGGTCGAAACGTCGGCAAAAATTAAATAATTATTATCTGTTTAATTTAGTATTTATTTGACCGCACTCCCCGGTTAACTCCTCATATTATATCAACTGTCAACCATCTCTACATCATTATTACTTATTTTGCATTCTATAAAATCAAAGTTGTCCGTTAATGTTTCTTTTTTGGCGAGTCAGTAAGCTTCCACAGTAACTCAGAAAAAGTCAGTCCTACCTTCCTTTATTATTTGGCTAGCAAGGTATTACCAATAAAAAGTTTGAATGAGCTGCTTGGAAACATCTAGTTGAATTGGCCAGCATTACCACACTATGGCATAGGTTCAAACGATTGTTCATAACTAATTGTAAAACACTTTAATCTATTTCGGAACATATATAATTTCTTGATAAATAAATGGCTTTCTCATAGCAGAGGTTGGAATTTTTAAGCGAAATCGACAGCTTTTAAATAAAAGTTTTTTAACAATAAAAGTTCTGTAAAACCTTTACTTGAAAAGTTGCATGGGAAAAAGTTCTAGTTCCAAAAAACTGAAAGACTCCGGTAATAGCAATTCCGATTATACAGAAACTTAAAAAAATAAAAGTCTTTTTTCCGTTACAAGCTTTAAAAATTTAACTTGATTATAAGATTAATTATTTACAATTGAGACTGTGTTTGTTTGGTCCAAAAGCATATTGATCATTTCTTGTAAAGAATAATTTTAAAAAGGAAATTAATATGGATAATGTATTTATTTCAATAATTTTTATGATTAAGTTTTTTACCTTAAATTTTGTCTACCTTTTGTGATACCACAACTTTTTTTTTGAAATAAAAAAATATTTTGGTCCTCTTAATGTCTGACTTAAAAAATTTAATTATTTTTCAAACTGCAGAGCAAATTTAATTTATGAAGTTTTAGACTATAATTGTAAGTTTATTTCCTTCATTTATTTTGTTGGATTGTTTGGAAACAATATCTGGTTAAGAGGATTAGTTTGAAGTACAAAGTCCTAATCAGTAGCTTCCATCTTCCTGAAACTATGAGTTGTATTTTTATAAAATAATATATGAATATTTTAATTTTTATCATTCTAAATTAACTAATTAATTTTGCTTTCACTATCATGGACATGATATATTAATTGGTGTATGTTTAAATAATTTTAATCACGGAATTAATAAAAGTAAATATCTTTCATTGATTTGATAGTTTTTACACTTATGTAAGCATTGTTTTTATTTTTCTCACTGATAAAGAAATAAGGTGATTTGATGTACTGTGAACTAACTGCTCAGTAAAGTAGATTTTTTTTAAAGTAAAAAAACTTTTACAAGACAAAACAAATTGATTGCTAAAAACCAGGAAGCTTTATCATCTGAGAATGACTGCAGAAAGAAAAATGGTCAACAACTTGGAACCACAGCCTTGCTGTTCCCATTTGTTAGTAGTACTTATTTCTTTTGTTTAGTAAATTACTTTATCTATACATTTTTTTTTAACGTGAAGTTATTCTTTTTATTTGAAAGATCCAAAGAAGAACTATTTATAGAGAATGGAAAATACATACTCGATGAAGTGAACTCTTCAGCTCCAAACAAATACCTGTAAGTACTTTGACTTAGTGCTGTTACTTTTTGGAGCATCTAGATGCCATTGATTGACTTTGCATTCCTATCTGCCGAGGATGGGTTTGAGTCCAGCTATGGCAGTTAATGGTGTAGCTCAGTAAAAATCAGTAGTGGATCCAGCATTTAATTTTGGGAGCTTTTTATATATATAACAATAATTACTTGAAAAAAAAAACAGCAAAGAAATTAGGGTAAGCGCACCATTGATGGACATTGCTTAGGAAATTTTTGGCTTATGACACCGTAATTATTATAGTTATAAACTACGTTGGACAATTAGAATCTCCTTTTTGTATTTATAATAATAATAAAAGGCTCCGCGAACCCGAAGGTTCGATGCCAAAACCACCAATCGCTTATTACACACCTCCCTCCACCGTTCGCCGTCCAAACCCAGTCTCTTCAGATCGGCTTTAATGCAATCTTCCCACCTTTGCTTCGGTCTACCCCTTGAATATTTACCATTCGGTGCTGCAAATATTAACCTTTTAGGAATTCTCTCGTTACTAAGCCCAAAAATTTTACAAGCCCATTTGATTCGCTGCGATGAAATTACCTCAATTATATTACCCGGATACAGTTCACGCAATTCTTTGTTGTGTAACCGTCTCAACTCTTCGCTTAACTCATCCTTCTTCGGTCCGAATATTCTACACAATACTTTATTTTCAAAAACCTTAAGACGCTATTCATCCCTTAATGTAAGCAGCCAAGTTTCACATCCATAAAGAACTGTAGGTAAGATAATGGTTTTATAGATTCTAATTTTTAAGTTCCGAGACAAGAGGCGCTGGCTAAGTAGTTTTGTCACAGAAAAATTTCCCGCCTTCAGTCTAACCTTAATTTCTTTTTCAATTTCATTTTTCCTAGTAATCGTAGAACCTAGATACCTAAATTTCTCTACCTGTTCAAACATATTACCATCTATGTCAATATCACCAGTGGTATTGCCATTTTTGCAATTAACCATATATTTTGTTTCATCCGCATTTATTTCGAGTCCTAATTCTTTACCGGCTTTCATTAACGTTGTCGCATTTAGTATTTAGTTTGTTATTCTTTAAGTATTTAGCTTAGATCACTATTTAACACTATAAAATTGAAAAAAAATTTCAGTTATGCAAGTATAATTACAATTTAAAAAAAAAACTTTTTGCTCTAGTGATGGACACCCCGAAATTCAGTTGTTCTATTAATAGACAGGGGTACCAGTAATGGACATACCTCAGAAAAAATCTAAAATCTTTATTTAACTATAAAGATAAGATAACATAAATTTTCAACTTACTCTTAGCAAAACTGTTAGTAGGAAGATATGAAACACACTGATCTCAAGAGCACTATAGAAACAACAATGATAGGCATTCTAAAATTTTCTTTTGGGAACTTTGTTCATGCAGTTGTCAATAGAGGGCATTGTTCTTCAATCTAGAAAAAATGGAACCTTTAAATCAACAAGGAAGTTTATTATTTATATTTAAAGTCCAACCTGTTCATAATGGCTGTGTTCATCCTAACTACCCGTAGGGAGTACTGTTTAAGTGATTCTTGAAGTCCTATTAAAAATACAAATACAATAATACTTTTAGAGATAATTTTAAACTTTTTTTTGATAAGATATGGTTTTACTTAGTAGCTATTTATGCGTTATTGTTATTCTTTAAATATTTAGCTTAAATAACTCACAGTTACAAGAAATAGACCAATGAAAAAAAAAATTCATTTTGGGAGTGCTTTTACCCTGAAAAGCGCCCTGTAGATCCGTCTGTGGTAAGAACCATGGATCAGAGCAATTTATGCACCCCCTTCCCCCACTGTTTCAAAGTTGGTACTTCTCAGTTTCCAGCATAATGCCAAATTAATTCTACAATAACAATTTCTACAATTAATTCTACTAATAATAATAAATAAATAAATTATAATAAATTAAATATATATGATAAATTAATTCTACAATTAATAATTTTGCATTGCTGTGTAACCAAAACACATTTCGTAGAAAAGAAAGAAATTGTAGTGTTTGTAAATCAATGTAAAAGTAGGATAAACATAGTGAAAATTAATAAGAATTAAGAAATAATTTTACTTTTAGGTGATTAATAAAGGAATCAAACTACTTCATGAACATTAATTTTGAACTTAACGAGTCTCAAAACATAATAAAATCATTTTAATTAGAACTAGTATGTATTATTCATGCTAAAAATAATATGGACTAGTTTTATTTGATTTTTTTTTATTAGCTTTTTTTTTTTTTTCCTCGACACGATGCACGGCGGCCTCATTGAGGCCTATTGTGCGTCATCCTAAACTCTGTTAAAACAGGCCAGATACCTTTGCGAATTTGTTAATATTAATAATAGGGTCAGTGATACAACCACTTCCAGAGTGAAACTACCGCAGTCTGGCCAAATTATCATTTCTGCATATAATGTGGTAAGCGGTCTCATCCTCCAGACAACACAGCCTGCAGGTGGGAGTCTCAATGAAGCCCAAGTTAAAAAGGTGCTTATTGAGTCGACAGTGACTGGTGTACAGTCCTGTCACACACCTAATGGTCCTCATCTCCCATATCTCTCGTATGCCTAGTTCAGAACCTTGCAGGTACGAATCCCATCTGGGTCAGTTAATATTAGGATAAATATTAACTTTACCTTTATAAGATGAACTTAACCACCTTCTGAAATCAGACTTCAGTGGTCATATCATCTTAGAAAATAAAAAATAGTTACATGTAAATACCCAAACAAGCACCCAATTAAATAATAAAATGGTACTGCCCAATTAATATGACTTGTATACAGAATAATTATAACTTTATTTCTATGAATAATTATTTAATTAATTATTGCATTTTATGGAATAGAAATCTAGAAAAGATATAAAATTGTAAACTTCAAATAATAATAATAGCTTTATTTTTTACTTCTTTTTAGGTAGCAGACTAAGACATTTTTATTTCAAATAAAATTAAGTATTTAAAATAAAATATTTTAAAATACAAAATATAATACATTGTTTGTAGCTAGATTTTGTTTTATTATAAAAATGTTTGATTATATTTTGTATTTCAAATACAAAAAATATATTAAAAGTAAATTATAGTCTTATTGGGGAAAAATAAGAAATTGAATATGTTCCTGTCCAAATCACCTCCTTACACAACGGTCGGCTTAGAAACAGTATTTTGTTTAAAAACACTGAACTTGGGAACCTTCATGTTTTTTAGTGGTAGATTTTAAAAAAAAAATTATTTAATTTCATGTTTGTTGGATAAATATGGATGTTAGAATGCTTTAAGTTTGTTTAGGAATTACTAGCATACATTTACCGCACGCACAACCTTTCGGTCCTGTTAAATTTCAAGTAGTGTTATCCATACTTGTATATTGAGTACTACGAAATAAATTACGATTAGATTTCAAAATAAATTAAGTAGGCTACAAAATAAATTAAAAGTAGATTTCTTCTAATTACATGATACATTGAACAATAAAGTGATAAATAGAGGGAAATACTTTTTCTGTAAACAATGTAAATACTTGGTGTTTTAAAGTAATAATTAAAATACTCAATAGACAGGATAACTAAACTAGATATTTAACAGAACCAAAAGGGTATGTATAGGTGGTAAATTTATACATCTATATTTACCAAATAAACATGAAATTAAATAATTGTTAATATATAATTTTTAAAAAAATCTGTGCCACTACAACACAAGAAGGGTCTTTGAGTTTAGTATTTTAGAAATACTGTTTCTAAGCCAAAGGTTGTTTGGAACCCTTACCCCAATATGCTCAGCTATCATGTTCTTATATTTTTTAAAGATATTAAAGACTACCTAGTCTTTACCATCGCAGCCTTATAATTTTTTTAATTTTTCTTTTTCAATAGCACTAAAATTTATAAATGGTTCTGCTATTGCTTTCTTTAATAACAACCACCTTACACCTATATTCTGTGTTACTGCCATCCAGTTTCACACCTTCACATTCCAAGTTGGAATTTCCAACTCTGCAACAACTGTACAGAGGCTCAATAATAATTCTCTTGGTAGATGGATTGTCAGACATTCTGGCTAAATGTCTTGCCCTGAGCCTTCCAAGCTTGATGACAAACGAGATGTCCAGCTCATAATATAGGTCATAACCTCCATTCATTATTTTCATACATACCACTGTAAATTCAGCGTTACACTTAATGTTCAAATGTGATGAATTGGTCTTCAGCCTTGGTTCTAGTCCATATTTCCAAGCCATAGCACAGTACAGGACAAATGAGAGTCCTAATGTTGGGGGGAGGGGATTAAGTTCAGGAAGTTGGCCTATTGGTCCTTTTTTCCAACCCAAAGACAATAATACCAATGGTAGTCTATTACACCTCCATCACTGTCTCATACCTTTTTGTTCTTCTAATGAAGATTAAAAGGCTGGGCCATTTTATGGAGAAAACTTCCTGTTCTTGTATTCCGTCTGAACCCAAAAGCCTTTATCTGAGCTATGTAAATCGGTCACATTCTGTTATTTGGTGAAGTGCATTTTCCGGTGTATTGCTGGTATGGTAAAGAAAGAAAGAAAGTAAATTTTATTCTGGGACATTTAGTTCCCTCAGAATAACCACAATGAACAAAGAAATGACAATTGTCTGGTGATTTTGAATAATTAAGTGACAATTAAAGATAAATTAATTTACAAAGTTGTCTAACCTTAATATTAAAATGAAGAAACATGTAAATTTTTCATAATATTAAAAATCAAGACATTGTAATTAAGATATGATCTTGAAGTAGACATATGAATTTAAAGATGATTACATACAGGTGAGTTCAGGTATTTGTACAAATAAGCAATATGACACACACATAGATATCTTCAAGATATCAGTATAGTGTAAGTGACTCTCTAAAGTACAAAATAACTTTATTTTTCATATATTCAGAAGATTGATTACTGAGGAGATGGAAAAATAAATTATGTTAAAATGAAGTCAAGGATGAAAATTTCCATAAAGAGGTTGGTAGGGAATTCCAAAACGACATAGCACGCATGACAAAGGATTTTTTAAAGGTAACAGTTCCATGAGAAGGAATAAACAAATTTGAGGATTGGGATCTTGTGTTGAACTATTGAACAGAGGAACAAGAAGTAAAGAAATCAAGAAGGTAAGAAGGTTTTTTGGTTGTAAAGGTTCGGAAAAGGAATACACCTAGGAAATATTGCTGTCGTAAAACTGGATAGAGCCACTTCAACTCGGCATAGCAACTGGAGACATGGGAACGCCTGGGGACTCCAAGTTTAAATCTAATGAAACAATTCATTAGCCTCTTTAATCTGATCTCAAGCCCACCAAACAGTCCACTGTATACAAGGCAGCCATAATTGAAGTGAAGGAAAATGAGAGAGGAAACTAGGTGCTGATGGATTTTAAGGAGATTAGAGTCACGGAATCGTACAGTTCATCAACTATTCTGCAAATCTTTAGATGTCTATAAGTCTGCAGTAGTCTGTTACTATTCCAATGATGAGAAGAAGGTATGCCAGGTTATCCTCTTTCCTTACTCTTCTCCTGAGTGGAAATTCTGATGTTCTTTGATCTTGAACCTGGATTACACATTAAACATTTTCCATTGTCAGCCCTATGAGTCGTTTGAGCTCTCTGGTGGAGCAGCCTAGTCATATAATGCTTGTTAATTTTACCAATTAGAAATAGATTTGAGATTATTTTCATGAATTTTTTTAATATTTCTAAAGCCTGAAAAATATTATTATAATTTTTGTTTTTTCTAGTAAGTCTCATTCTGTGCCTACTACGCCATCTGTATACAGAAAAGAAACTCTAACATTTTCTGAAGGTTGGCCCTTGACTGAAGAATCATCTCCATCCGCTTACAGTTTTATGTAAGTTATCGATCTCTTAATTATGAACATGATAAATAATCATAATTTATTTTATTCAACTTGCCACTGTTTCAACAATAGCATACAAGCCATCATAACGGCTTAAAACTAAAAATTATATTAGAAAAATAATTATCTCTATTATTTATTAACAGATAGGATAATTATGTATTTTATAAAATTTCATATTACTTATTACTTTCTTTTTACTTTTATATTTGGTTTAGAAACTATTATTATAATAGTTTCTGTTGAGCTCCACTAAATCATCGAATACCTCTCTTATACAACCCTTGCAATACAAAAACGTTCATAAAATCCTCAATGCGCCTTACTTTGTTACAAATAAAATCATCCATAATGACCTTAATGTTTCCGATTCTATCCCATCCAGATACCTATTTTTCAATAATAAACTTCAGAACCATCCAAACCTACTCGTTTCTAACCTTGCTGCCTCTTCGATTTCTGATAGCCCTCTGAGGCCTCTGAAAAGAAGAGGGTCCCATGATCTCCTAATGTAAGCATATTTTTAGAGTGCTACCAGTGGGGAGTAGTTTCTCAACAAGTGTTTTCATGTCATATTCATTTGTTCACATTTACTCGATCTATTTTTATTTTTTACAGTTGTAAATATCATGAATAAAAAAATATATATTATAATAAAATATGTTAAATAGCTGTCAAATGACCGTTATCGCACCCCCCTCTCATCATCTCTCTCCATTGCAATCCATTTATATGACTATACCACACTACTCGCTCAGTTCTTGATGCTAGATTATACAATAACCATTGGTAATTGTTAAGCGATTATTTATATTTTTCATATTTATATTTTTGATTCCATCTGTTACTCCACATACTTATTCATATTTTTTGTAGTTACTAAATCTCACAGTGTTATGTTGCTCTATTGTGTACCAATTAGTTCTTATAATTAAATAAAATCACCGCATTCTTAGCATTAGTGGTTTTATGACATGGTTTTTATTTATTTTTGGTTTTTTATTTATTTGAAGGTATTCAAGTAGTCAGTAGTTTAGTATCAGTACTTAAAACATGCCCTGATGATGATCCACATATTTGAGTTGAAACATCGGCACTAATAAAAACTTTATAATGACTGCGTCCTAAATATTTATCACACATGATATGTAGAACAGTCGACTAACTTCCTTCAATATTTTATTTATTTAATTGTACTATTCATTAGTTAATTTACTTCTACTATTTTTTTTTCTATGTGTATTATTATGTTTATATTACTATTATCTTATGTGTACAATTATATTTTTGATCTTGGCTTATTTACGTAACTCCCTTTAAATATTATATTTCTGTCAAAATTTTTTGCCCTGGTGACTTTACATGTTTAGGTCAAACTGTCGACTAGCTGAATTAAAAATAAAACAATGACAATGCCATCACATCTGCTGATTGTCGATAGTTGTAATTGACAGGTGTAGATAAATAAATGAAAGTGGAAAAAAAATAATAATAAATAAATAAATCTAGACTGTAAATTCTGATTATTTATCATATTGCTAGTTTAACAAATAAAATAAAATAAAAATCAGCCAATAACAAAAATATGCATCTCTAATCTGTTTAATGTCAAGAGTTTTTCTCTCAATAATTTATCCAATTCTTTATTTCAGTGGAAAAGTGGATAATGTAAAACAGTTACTTTCTAAACCAACGGTTAGTAAATGGAAGAAATATATCAAATTGGTTTGTCTCATTAGCTTGTGGTTTTGTATTACTGTAAGTTCCTAAAATATTCTATAATAACAAAACTATTTCCTTGATTTATTTCTGTTCTGTTAATTAATCAATTTTCAGATTATTTTAATGGCTAAAAGTGAGCGTAGGTCAGATACAATTCATCAGATTTCGGTGCCCAAAGAGAAAACTCGAAGTATCCTTTTGATTATCTTTATTATCTGTTGGAATTTTATCTCTAACATTATTATTTTTCATTCATAACATTAGCTCTGTTGTGTGGTTCCATTCGTACACTTATTGATTATATGAACAATTGTATCTCTAATTGAATATCAGAAATTTGGTTGAAAAAAAAAAGGAACAATTACTAAAAACAAACTAACAATAAAATGCATATTAAGTTTTGATGGCTTTATATTACTTGATGGCTTTACAAGGATCATAAGTTTTAAATTAATTTTTAAAAAATTTCAACTACTTCAGTATAAACTATTAGTTATTTCTCTCTGAGGTATCAGTAAATAATGATTTTCTCTGGACCTGATGTAAATAAAGCAACATGTTGTCTTAGGAAAAAACAGTCTTCTCTTGAACTTTTACCCATAGTTCCTATTTATGGTGTCTTTCTTCAGTTCACAAGTATTAGGCCATTTGATCACTATTCTTTTTTTTATTTCATAATTTTAAAAGACAACATTTTGGCCTGCACTAGAGAGACCCAACTTGACACATTCTACAACAAGATATCGACTGCATCAACAGATGGGTAGAAATAAATAAATTAAAGCTGAATACAGATAAAACTAAGGCTATCCTCATCAGGTTCAGACATCTCATTAGCTTTCTTTCTTGTTTCCTCTACTTAACCTCAATTACTGTCCCATCCATTTTTCCCTACTGTCAAAAACCTAGGAGTAACCTTTGACCAGAACCTCTCCTGGAATAACCATATTTCTCAGATTACCCGAAAATCCATAACTGTCCTTAAACAAATCCTAAGACTCCGTGATTGCATTTCTCTAAAAACCCGTCAGCTCCTTGTAACCTCACTTATATTCCCCCAACTAAGACTGTTTGGTGTATGGAGAGCTATCTGCCAGGCTAGAAATGTGACTGAAGAAACTCATGATCTGTTTCATAAGATACATTTTTGGGATCCCCAGGCGTTCACATGTTTCATTCTGGTACACCGAGTTGAAATGGCTTTATCCTACTTCGCGATGATAATTCCTCCTTGAAGTTTTTCTTTTTGAAGTCCTCAGAACAAAAAACCTTCCCTACATTCTGGAACCCCTTACTCTATGTTTCTCTCTCCACCCTCTTAATACCAGTTCTCAACCTATATATTTATATATCTCCTCCCATAAAACTACTTCCTTCCGCAAATTCTTCGTCATTCGTGCTACCTCCTTTTGGAACTCTCTTCCTACCTCCTTATGTCAATTATCGTCCACAAATTCCTTCAAACAACTCCAGTTCCACCAACTACTCCACATTCAAACTTCTGCCATTCCACATCCAAATTTAATAGGAAAGATGAGAAGTAATCTGTGATTTTTTTGAGATTTTAATTATAATTTTAGTTTAAAAAAAAATAACTTATTTTTGGATTGACATTTTCTGGATAAATTGTTCATATACATTTGATAAATAGTATTTTTACTCAATGTGCTTAGCCTTTTGGATCCTTGAAGTACCAACTATGAAGAGTATAGACGTTGAACTTGGAGGATCTCTTCTTCCGTCTTATTACGGAAACATGTCACAGCACTGGTCATCTTTATGGATTGAAGTGGTTCAAACGAATGACACAACCTCTGAGAAGTCTATATCATTCAAAAAAGTAAACTTTTTCATTTTAATTCTTTATTTATGTTTTGTGATTTATATTTTTTATTTGGTTAATTATTCTAATTGGTATATTAAAATGTTACAAAATTGATTAATCACAGATTAAAAATGAGGCTACTATTAGTCCAAAGGAAACAATATAAGAATAAAATTCTATTAAATTCAGATCGCTATGTTTCAGCCATTTAAAAAAAAAAATCTTTTTATATACCTATTTATATATAGTAATTTGTATTAATTTATTGGGATTAACAGTGGTCCAATTTTTAACCATGTCAAAAATAAATTATTATTAATTTTTTTTTAAGATACAATTTATAATTTTAATGCTTCCAGAAAATATCGGATACTTGGAGTGTACCTATAGTGTCTGAAAGTCTAATTGATTTTGTGCCTGAAGTTAAACGAAGTCATGTTTTTCATTTAGAAGCAATAAATGCATCGTAAGTTTGTCCTTTTTCAGTTATTAATATATATAATGTTAATTAGTTGGTTTATTTGTTAAAAACTTATGTATTATCATTATTATTATTGTACGGCTCTATGACCCACACGCTGAGTCTTGGCTTGCTCCAGCTTTGACCGCCAGTCATCTCTATTTTGTGCTGCTACCTTCCAGTTGCAAATGCCAAGTATCAATAATGCATCGGTAGCACATCTTCCCATTGGAGCCTAGGGAATCCAACCTTCTATGCTCCATATAGCTTCTCAAAAAACTTATGTATACTATAAGTTAAAAAAAATGTTTTTTTTTCTCTGTTGGCATTACAGACCATGTTGATCTTTTTTCGCCTTAACAAGCCTGCTCCATCTCTGCCTGTCTTGGGCTATTTCTTTCCATTTATCTGCACATAGCTCTGTTGCATCTTTGTTGATTTTATCTATCCATCTGCTTTTTAGCCTTCAAGGTGGTCTTTTGCCTTCTATTGAGGCATTCATTGTTATGTAGAGGCTTCCAGATGGATTGCTACGAGCTACATGCCCCGCCCTTAACCTCTGTGCCTTCTTATCATGGGATATTGATTGACCAGTTTCTGTAAGCAGTTCTTTATTGGTCTCTCTTCTCCATGTGTTAGTACCTTTATCCCAGATTACTCCGGTTATCGTGCGGAGGATTTTTCTCTCAACACGTTTTTCTAGGGTGATAAGTTAATGTCCAGTTCTCACAGCCATATATTAGAACTGGCTTTATCATAGCATTATACACCCTTAATTTGAGATACCTTGAAATTTTTCGGAATTTCAATACTTTTGAGAGGAAGAAGAAACCTCTGCAGTAGCTATACACTGGTTTATTTCTGTCCGTTAGTCATTTTGGTCCGTTGAGATTATTGTGGAGCCAAGGTATTTGAATTTTTCTACTCTCGGGAATGGTTTTCCTTCTACGCAGATCCTGTTATTTGGGCTTATCATATATTTTGTTTTGTCTTCATTTACTTGTAGGCCGATCCCCTCTGTCTCTCTTATCAGAGTCGTAGCGAGTTTCTCAATGTCCTCTTGATTACTTCCAAGGACAGCTATATCATCTGCGTATCCTAAGATTTAAAAAAAAAATGTATATAGTAGTAATATATTAATTAATAAATATGTTCTATTGACTTCTATAATGGGTATAATGTAAATATTAGATTATACATTTGTAGTTACTTATTTATAGTTCAAATATAACTAAACTACTGGAAGGCATTTTATTATGATTTTTTCTTGAAAATGTTTCAAGTTTATTCATTAAATTAATAATAACATGTTTTGGGTGTTCGGAGACTAATTTCATTATATGTTGATTAATGTTTTTATTCATTGACCTCCTATTTCTGAAGATCAGGATATTATAATAGAATATAAATGAATATGTTGTACTCACCCCTATCTTGGATGGATGCACTACATTTATTTGTTTAGTCTCTTTTTCATTGTTGAATTGTTGTTGTTCATTTTCCTCCCCAAGGTTCCATAAATTGATTAGATGTTGATGATAAATTGTATACTTAGAGCAGAGTTAGAACTCTAGGATTTTTGATAGGAGGTAAATGCTCAATTTTGCTGTCCCCAACGCACTCAATCTTTTTTTATATTAATATTTAAGATAATTTTTTAACAAAATTAATATTGTCATCATGTAATATTAAATTGTGTCATAGAATGAATTTAGGTCCAAACAAAACAAAAGTAGATAGAAATATGTTTTACTTATACCAACAAAATTATTTTCTTGAATTTCGGCGCCTAGGGAAAGTGCTCCTTTCGCTCCTTCGTAGTTCCACCCCTAACTTTGATAACATTTGATAGAATTTATGCTTTTTTTAATCTTCTAATAATATTTTTTTTAGTGTTTTAATGTAATATTTATTTATTTTTTGTTTTACAGCCTTGTCAAAGACATGATCTTAAGGATAGTCATAAAAACAAATATCAACAGGTCATTTCCTATTTCTCTTTCCTATCAATTGTCACCGATTGATCCAAAAGATGGAGTGCTCTATGCTGCGGGGGTCTTACTGGGATTGTATATTTTAATTATATTTGAGGTGAGATATTAATTAAAAGTTAAAATTGGTAAGAAAGTCAATAAACATATTTTTGTTTAATTATTCACTTTATTAGTTAGTTTCTTTAATGATAAAATTATGTTCTAGCAATTTAAACAATTTATTATGATTCTGAAAATTAATATTCCTCTCGGCATAAAAAATAACTATACAATTTATTGATTTTTTTTAATGACATCATCATAATTGAAAAAATGAACCATTCCGAAGTTTTTTAATTCATTTATTAATTATCTAACAGATAATCTACTACTATTTAAAAAAATACCAAAAATATTAGACTTTTTGCAGAATATAAATAAAAAATAGAATATTAAAAAAAAAAACCTTTAAATTGATTAAGATAGTTTTAAAAAATCCAAATTTATCATTGGTGAAACTCGGTGGAGTACAACTAGTGAATTATATTGTAATAGTTTTACTGGTCCTTATTAATTGAATGGTTTGAATTCTAAGAAATTTTTATAGATTAGTGGCAAACTTTGAAAAGAAATTTACAAACTTTAATTCAAATTATGTGTTGTGTGCTTAAAAATATTTGAAATCAGTGATATTACTATACAAGATGTGGCTATTAAATTAAGAGAATGATGCTGTTAAACATCTTATATTGATTTTATACATATTTATTTGCTATCACTTCCAATATATACCCCTCCTCTTTCCCTACAACGCTTCATGCGAATCTTCCTATGTCTGAAAGAGTGCAGGAAATCTGTCAACTCCTTCAGGACATATCTGCCTTTCCTATTATTAATTGTTTGACCTTCAGAAACCTAGTGAAGGTGTGCAATCCCTTCAATATAAAAAAAAACCAATCATCATTGCTTTGAATTTCAATTTGTTCAATTGAGCTTTTTTGGCTCTCGTTGAAGTTGGGGTCTTTCAATGCATGCATTGGTGCCTTGTTTCAGGATCATAAATAAAAAACCGTGAGTCCTCAATCTACATTTAGAAAAACAAGATTTGAGTCCATTGAAGCTGACAAAAGAAGACTTCCAGAACTCACTGTTTCAGACAATGGAAGATTGACATGGAGTATTGTAGTGATGGAGATGGGGTGTTTATTGAAGAGAAAATATGTATGAAATAAAAATAAGATGTTTTACAGCATTAGTTTTGTTATTTAATAGGTATAATATGGACTTGCAGGGCAGAACTATATGGGTCTGCTGTAATTCATTAAATATTCAAAGAATTAAATTTAATAATTATTCAACTGCTACAGTTAGTTTAGTTTAATTATGCTACATGATTATATAGCATTATATAGCATGATTATATAGTTGCACCCAAGTGCAAACTGATACAGAATAAAGTTGAAACTAACATTTTGTTTTTTCCCTATCTCTCCGACATTGTTTTCGACATATTTCCTAATATATACATATAATGAAAGATGATATCATAACCTTCTAATTTATGTATACATTTTTGAATATTTTGTAACTTATATCGGGGAGTCAGGGAAAAAACAAAATGTGTTTTAATCTATGGGTACAATATTTGTTAGTCATTACCTAGTCCTGCCATAAATACTGCTACAAAAGTTGAACTTTGTTTACATACTTGGGTATTATTTAGACAATTTTTACCTCTATCAGGTTATTTTCTTTACATGTCATGGTAATAATCCCAATTAGTTTGTATTTTCTTTCGCTCAGTTAACATGGAGTGGGGTGATAAATAAAACCGAATAGCTGTGATCTCCTTACACAAAATGTAAATGTAGGTCAGAGATTTTCAACACTTTGAAACCTTTGAGCATCAGCCGTATGTTCGTGTACCGCACTATAAATAGAGATAATGAGACCCTATCTATATGTGACAGACCTCGACCCGGCAGTCCCTGCACTGTGAGAACGGCAAATGCAATGAGAGCAGTGGCTGCTCGAATCAGAATAAATCCCATTTGAAAACAACAAATCATGTCTTGGGAAATGGGAATCTTTGTCAGATCAATATCTCGCATATTAAAAAGTGACCTTAGAATGGGTTCATTTTAAAGAAAGACAGGACAAAGGCTCACCTCTTCCCTAGATGCAAAGTGTTCCTTGGCCGTTACACCAATGGTCTTCAATGTAAGATTTTGTTTAGCGATGAGAAAATTTTTAAAAATTCAAGAAAAATTTAATCGCCAAAATGATTGTGTGTACACACACAGCTCTAAAGAAGCCCAGGAAGTCATTGGAAGAGTAGAAAGAGGTCATCATCCTTCCTCAGTGATGGTTTGGTGGGAGTTTGCTTTGATGGCACCACAAAGCTTGTGAAAAAGGAGTTGAAACAGCCGCTAAAAACTATCAGGACGATATTTTGGAACCTATTGTCAAGCCTCTAAATGATACTCTGTTTGCTGAAAGTTATTGGATTTTCCAGCAGAATTTAACTCCAGCTCACAAGGCCAGGTCAACTCAGCAGTGTCTAGAAAAGAACATTCCAGAGTCCATCTCTCTCTCGGATTGGCCCTCAGGAAGCCCTGATCTCAATCCACTAGATTATCAACTTTGGTCCGAACTGGAGAGGATTGCATGCCACAGAGCATACCCTAACTTGGAAAGCATCAAACAATCTCTGGTCCGAGCAGTTGTGCACTTTCCTCAAGAAGTGGTTCGTGCTGCTATTGATGACTGGCAACAGAGATTAAATTAAATGACTTTGCCAAGGCAAAAGGGGGACATTTTGAGTAATTTCTTTTTTGTTTTACTCTCTATAGATTACATTTTATTTTCTAATAAAATTTTTGAAAAAATTAATTTTTCTGTTGAAATCTGTTTATATTTTAACAATATTTATGACAGGACTAGGTATGTGTTTATTAGTAATAATTGTTATTGTTTCAGATTGTCCATCGAACTCTTGCAGCAATGGTTGCTTCAACAGCTTCTATTGCTATCCTTGCGACCTTTGATGCCGTTAGTAACAAACCTTCAAAGATTTAAATAATAGCATGATGTTCATTAGTGATTCAACCTTTTTTGGTATTGGTATAAATCTGTTTAAATTATTAACATTTTGATTTTAGAGACCGTCCTTAGGAGAGATGGTGACCTGGGTCGATGTTGAAACACTGCTTTTACTCTTTTCAATGATGCTTCTTGTCACAGTGTTTTCTGAAACTGGCGTTTTTGATTATTTAGCAGTTTTGGCGTGCAAGGTTAGTATTACTAAGTACTCTTATGCTCTTAAAAAAAAATATGACAATGGTGTTCTATTCATATAAATTCTCAAAATAAATTCATGTTCTCATATTTTAAAAAGGTGAGCCAACTTAAAGACAATTTTTAGGAATACTAAGATAATTATTATAAAAACATCACTCATTATGGCATTCATTATTTTACTTGAATGTGGCTAATCATTCCACAATCCTAATAATTTTTCCTCTCAGTTTGAGAGAAAATTTTTTAAGGAATTAAAAAAAAAATAATAATTTTAATGGGGAATGAAAATTAAATGAGAAATAGTAGTTATTTTTCCATTACAAAATTACTCAATTTGTGTGCCCTCTATCCATAAATGTGACAGTAGGAATTAAAAAGATTTTAATAGTTTCTAAATTAATTTATAACGGAAAATTCAATTAAATTTTGTAATACCGTTACTTTTGAATTAATATTTGATAGATAGTGATTTTATTTTTACCCTTTTCTTCCTCTTATATATAATTAATGTGAATCATTCAATTGATTTACAGGAGAATCCTAAATCCTTGTCTCCAATTCTTTGCAAATGCAAACATGTATTTTCTTAAATAAATAAATCTACATATATCTAATCAACAATTAATTACATCAAATTTTATGTATTATTGCTTCACAAATGACAGAACTTATTGGTAGTACTTTCTGTTTATAACCATCATTGTTGATGAACTATAATATTAACATTTAAATCAATCAGTTGAAAATATTCTTTTCAAAGAAGGTAATTTTAATATTTATTCACTGAAGATGCATTATAAAGTTTTTATACTGTAAAATTAAGAAATAGTTTATTATATTTATCTTTGAATTATATATCGAAGTTTTTTGTTCATAAATTTTAGATAACAAATGGAAAAGTTTGGCCTTTGATAAATACCCTTTGTGCTTTTACAGCATTATTATCATCATTCTTGGATAATGTCACTACTGCTTTATTTATGACACCAATAACTATAAGGTAAATAATTTTGCTAATTCAAGTTTTGGAAGATACTAGTTTATTGTGATTCAATGACAGAAAATTACTGTTTTTTAAATTTAATTTAACAATGAAATATTATGTATCATTAATCTATTATATATTTAGACATTTATTGTGATTATTATATATTTTTTTATTAAAAAATATATTGAAATAATATTTTGAATAGGCTATGCGAGGTTATCGAACTGAATCCTGTTCCGATCCTGATAGCTGTGGTAATGTACTCAAATATTGGTGGTGCGCTTACACCAATTGGTGATCCTCCAAATGTCATTATAGCTACTAATAAAGATGTGAAAGAGGCTGTGAGTTTATTTAATTATTACTAATTTTTTACTAATAGTTAAATAATTTCAATAATATTTTTGTGGTTTACATATTATTTTTAATGAATAAATAATATCCTCAGAGAAAATGTTTCAACATTTACAAGGTTTAACATAAATTATATGGTAATAGACCTTAAATGCTACAGAAAACTGCCTAACAATTTTAAAAATTTTTTTTTTGCCAAATGATGGGAAGAAGATTAAGATGGATGGGGCATGTAACTCGTAGCAATCCATCTGGAAGTCTCTACGTAACAATAAATGCCTCAATAGAAGGCAAAAGACCATGTGTAAGGCCAAAAAGCAGATGGATAGATAGAATAAACAAAGATGCAATAGAGCTGCGTGCAGATAAATGGAAAGAAATAGTTCAAGACAGGCAGAGATGAAGCAGGATTGTTAAGGCGGTAAAAGGTGGCCGTAATGTCAACAGGAAAAAAAAGAAGCTTTCGTTGAATAGGAATTTAAAAAAAAAAACAGGATGTAAATTTCACTTTAATATGTTACCACAAGGATCTGTTTTGAATCCTACATTCTTTAGTAGATGACCTAGTGGCTGTACTTGAGAGAATATCCGGAATATCTGCTTTACTGTTCGCTGATGATCTACTAGTATATGCGACTAGTAGCAACATAACAGCACTTGAAGCAGCAATTAATGAGGCAATGGCAAGACTTTTTACCTGGGCCAAGTGTAATGAAATGGAACTAAATACGCAGAAAACTGAGTTCCAACTGTTCACCTTATCAACCAAAGAGTACTTGCTGGAAATCATCTATAATAATGTTTCTTTGCCAAGAACCTATGCAGGCAAATATCTGAGAGTTAGGTTAGACAGAAAAATGAAGGGAACAGGCAAATTGAAGGGATGTTGGAAAAGGGAGAAAATATACTAAAGCTTCTAAAATGGCTTGGATGGGCTGCATATAAAACCTACGTATGTCCAGTTCTGGAATACGGATCTGAGGTCATCTGTACTGCGGCAGATGCATACCATTTGAAAAAAAAATAAAAAAAAACCATAAAAAGGAAGGAGATGGTCCAGGGTGGCGGTTTATTTATTTATGACCACCATCTCCTTCTTTATAATGCAACGGTCACCTATTGAATATTAAAAAAAAACCTTAATGTTATAAAAACAAAACTTTGTATGATTTAGCTGTTGGAAAGCTCCCTTGAAATGATTTTATTAAATACAAATTCAAATTTTTTTAAAAGGGAATTTCGATAAGTCCCAAAAAGATGGTGTAATCTTTTAAGAGACTTTGAAGAGTCTTTTTGTGGACACTTCCTTGTTCAGTAAAAATCTTAAGTCTCATTGATGGGAAAATATATTTTTAAAGCCATTTTACATGTTTAAGTTTTTCAACCAGTTTCTTCTCATTATTTTTGTTTTGGGATGCTCCACATATGAAATTGAATTAATAGATATGGTAATTCATTCTTCAATTTTTTAACACGAATAAAAAATAACACTCCTAGTAAATTTGTAAGGTTACGTTACTTTCCTGGCACACGTAGTGAAAAAAATATGTTAAATATAATACTAACTTTGAGAAACTTAACCTTGTAAAAGGGCCAATAAAGTCTATAAGGTCTCCCCTCATGGTTGAAAACCCAACTATTTAACTACAACTTCTAGGACTAGGCTTTGGTCGATTAACTTGACCTTTTAAAATGCCCTTTAAGTTTGTAAATTGGTTACTATTTACCACAAAAACCTGAAGCTTGTGTATTAGAGTCTGATTGTGCATATAACAGTTTTATTGATTATATTTTTATGATGAAGTATTGAAATGAAATTAATTTAATCAATTTGTTTCTATAAAATAATGTCTATTGTACCTTTACTCTTTTTTATTTATTTATAGGGTGTAAATTTCAGTGTGTTTATATTTCATATGGGGATCGGCTTGTTTTTAGTTATGGTGTATGTCCATTTTCATTTGAGATACGCATTCAGAAACTTGAAACGCAGAAGCCATGAAGATCCGACAAGATTTGAAGGTAAACAAAAAACATTAAAAAAAATATCACATTATTGTGAAATAATAAAATGCTTACAGACTCGAGGATCTTTCTGGTATTCAAATTAATTTTTTTTCAGAACTGAAACATGAAATAGAGATTTGGCAACGGACTGCTGCATCTCTCTCATCTTACACGAAGGACGAATTCTATGTGAAAGAGACTATTTTTAAAAAAGTCAGAAAGCTAATAGGCGATCTTAAAAGAAAAATATCTGATGATACGTAATTATTTTTTTTTTTTTTAGTTTATTCTTTATTTTATTTAGTACTTATTTATTCATTGAAAATTATTTTTAGTGAATCTGTCAACAATTATGAAGACAAGTTACAAGAATTAGAAAAAAAGGTACTGAATTTATTATTTTTTAGGTAGTATATGTATTGAATTTTTTGTATTAAATTTACTGACATCTTGTTTCAATGAAATCACTATCTACTAACTTTGGTTATGACATTTCTCCCTCATATAATCGCAGACCATGCTATATAATGCTATAAATATTTTTTTTTTAAATATCATTTATTTATTTTTACTTTTTATTTTTTCCTGAACACCCCAACCAACTTCTCTTCAATTTCACTACTTAACCATCAATCCACTATTATAAATATTACAGTTCTTTAAACATTTTAGAGAACTATCTTCTCCATTATTCATCATTAATAGTAATAAAAATAGAAAATCAGTCTTATTCTGGGATATAGTCCCTTAAGAATAACCATATTGATCATACAAATTAACATTCGATCTGGTCAAAAAACCTATTTCGATTAAGGCTAACTAAAACATAAGTAATAAGATAATACATGTTTATTTGTATATCCAATTTGATATTATTAAAATAGTGTATGCCATAGGAGGGGAACTGCGGTTTCAAAGGCTGCATGTGGCCTCGTAACGTAGTTGTGGCCTCCAAACATTTTTGCACGATATTTATTTATAGCTTTAGTGCTAGAATTAATAAATATTTAATTATTTAAGTAACAACAATTTGGAAATTAATAGAATTAAGTTGAATATATGTATGTGTGTGTGTGTATTTCATGATGAATGGAAATAAGAATAATTATAATTTTATGATTATATAAATTGGCAATAAGGCACGATGTATAAAATAGATTTTTAAAGGAAATAAAAAATTTGTCGGAACTGTGGTTTCATTCCGTTTATTTTATATTTATAAAAAATAATCAATTCTGAACTACAGAATACATACATAAATTATAGTTATACAATTTGAGCAACACTAATTAGTTGAGTAGTACAATTAAATAAACAGTTTTATAATTTATAAAATGGGCATTGGTTCTCCATCAGGTGGACTGGGGTTACCCCTGTAGTATTGTATAATTAAGGTAATATTTTATTAATAGATTTTTTTATTTTTTTTATATAGTTCCCAATAAGAAACATGCCTCTTCTCATAAAATCGACTATAACTCTGGTCTTCATGTTGGTGCTGTTCTTCCTCCACTCCGTTCCCGACCTTAACCTCAGCCTCGGATGGACGGCGCTCCTCGGGGTTATGCTACTTCTTCTACTTGCTGACCTCCATGATCTTGAAAGTTTACTCGCCAGAGTTGAGTGGAGTACTCTAATATTCTTTGCAGCTCTTTTTATTTTGATGGAAGTAAGTTTGGATAAATATTATCAGAATGCATGTTTTGATTTAATTTTAACTTTTGTTATATTTGGGTTTACCTATAATTCCAATTGTTAAATAATATCTTTAGGCCAAATCATTCAGGCTGAGTTGTGATAACTGTCATATGGTGTAGTGCAATACGATATCGCACTTCATGGTTATAGCGGAAACCAATAATTTTTGTTTATATTCTCTGATAAACTATTTGGCATTAAATTTATCATTGAGAAGTAAAACCACACAACATGTCTTGGAAAGATAACAATTAAACTATTCAGAGCTCCCTCCTATTTGCTCCTCCAGTTAGCTTCATGAAATTACAGTGAAAATCAGAGTTTCCTCTTTAGTGAAAAAGTTCTCTTTTTCTAGGTCGGAAGGGAGAAATAGGGAAACAAATTTTATCAATCAAAGACTTATTAAGTATTACATTGTTGTGTAGAAGCTTCCTGATGGATTGCTCCAATCTACAAGCCATGTCTATCTTATCCTCTATGCCTTCATATCATGAGATATTGATTACTCAGTTTCTGTAAGCAGTTCTTTAATATGAAATTAAAGTTAAAAAATAAATATTGGGTGACCATTCCGAAAGAATTCAGTTTATTTAGTAGCACTTGGTGGTTATAATTATAGCACTATGTTTATCAGTGTCAGAAAAATAGAGTATGATATCTATCATCCGATTGTTTTCACATGCATACCCATTGTTATGTGGTATTTTTTTAGCCCTGAAATTTGGGCCGAAATGTCAGCAAAAATAAATATAATTTATTTATTTTTACATTTTTTTGACTGAACATTATAACTAATCTTCTCTCCCATTATTTATCTTCAGTCTACCACCAATCCACAAAAATGTTTTGTTCTTTTTTTCAAACCTCCACAAATAGTATTTTTTTCTCCTCATTTAATCAAAACATCATTTAACTTGCAATTTAATGAATCATTTATAATGTTACATACCTTTCTGTTCATTATAATTATTCTTAGGGAATTAAATGTTCCATAATTTTATGTTACTTTTCTTCTTCTTTTTAAACTCTTAGACTTTCTAACTAATCAGAGCAGAATAAATATTGTTAAATTTATGTAGGATTATTGGAATTGAATTGTATACTTTGTGTTTTGACAGGCTTTGTCAAGGCTGGGCCTAATAGATTTTATTGGGCGACAAACAGAACTGGTTATTCTTAGCGTCGGCGAGAAATATCGCTTAACTGTTGCTATCGTGCTGATATTATGGGTGTCTGCCCTCGCCTCATCGTTCGTCGACAACATACCTTTAACAACGATGATGGTACGGATCGTGACGTCTCTAAGCCAAAATGTAGAGCTTCAGCTCCCTCTTCAACCTTTGGTCTGGGCGCTGGCATTGGGAGCATGCTTAGGAGGTATACAAGAATATATTTACTTAAAAAATTTTTTTTTATGAGTATTTTTTTAATGAATTTCTATGGTTAGTCTATACGTTTTAGTATATAATGCCCTGATAAGTAAGAACTTCTAGCTTATTTTTGGTTTGAATCTCGAGAAAATACGAGAATTCGTGTACATAATCTTACTTTTGATATAATATTATACCCACCGGGTATTTTTCTAAACTGGGCGGATATTAAGATTACATGCACGAATTCTAGTATTTTCTTGAGATTAAAACTGAAAATAAGACATAGTCGTATACATCTTCTATTTCATTTAAATTACAAAGGCTACAATCTTTTTTGCTCATTCCTCATAACACTATTGTTTAGAAACAATGATTGTCCACGCAAATTAAATCTACCTTTAATAAAATGCATTTTATTTACATCTCATATTTAATACCTTTCACCTAAGTCACTGTTCAAATACTTATAAAGGTCATGAAATCTAGCCGCTTTAGCTTTTTCCCCTCATATCCACTTTAAAATTATTTTCTAATTTAGTTAAAATATGGGGAATTATTTTATCACTAGTGTATTCTAATGGGATATTAATTCTATTACAGAGCTCAGTGTTGTTATTTGTGCCAAAATATTTTATTATTTCTATAGCCAAAATGTTTAGTATACAAAGATCAATGCAGAGCATTTTTGGTAATAACTGTCCAATTCAGACATTTTTTGAGAGATGAGAAAGCTCTGGAAAGCTTAGATCTGTTGGAAGCTGGAAAAAGTAAAAAAAAGAAAAGTTGGTATGTTTCTGCAATGTACGATTGATCATTAATGTAAGAACCAAAGTCGACAGTCAAGAGGCCATAGCTAAGTATAGATATTGAATGATTCCTTAGAAAGAAAATTTAAAATATCTTGAAGCGAATAATCTATTATAATAAAATTTGTAATGCCTATATTTGTAGTAAAAAATCACTCAAAGCAACTGGTTAGTATTCTTCTTGACAATTAAATTTATATTTACAGCTTTACACCATCAATCCTCTTTTATCTTTGTTATTTTTTAGGCCAGTTGACAAATAATTCAAAACTATGGTGATTAAGATTCACAAACAATGAGAAGTTATCTTATTTTTTATTTAATTTTACATTCATCACTAGCAGAAACAGTGTTCTAATATAGGAAAAACAATTTAATTTTTGAAATGTTAATAATTTTATTTTCTTGGACAATTTATCTAATTAAAATATAATTCTACTATGGTATAATAACATGTTTTTAATTTATCTACAGGAAATGGAACTCTTATTGGAGCATCTGCCAATGTCGTCTGTGCTGGTGTCGCTGAGCAACACGGCTATAGATTTTCTTTTTTGCAATTTCTTAAGTAAGTGTAACATTATTTTGTTTAACCTTTTTGCCCTATTTTCCTTCAAGTAATAATCCTTTGCACTGCACCCGAGGGAGAAGGGATTGAATTTTGAATCCGTTCAATATCTTCTAAAACATTGTTTTGGAGTATCAGGATGTCTGATTTTTCCTTGTTACATTTAGGGATATCCAATGGCCCTTTGAATCATATGACCTGAAATTTGGTATACTCATTTGCAAATTTTCTTCTTCTTTTCAAAGGTATTGAAATTCCGAAAAATTAAAAAAATTTAAAAGAAAATGAATGTTAACGAAAAATAGATTGTAAATTGAATAAGTATTGATAAAGTAAAGCTAAAATAAGAACAAGATAACATTAATACTTATTCAATTTACAATCTATTTATTCGTTAACATTCATTTTCTTTATATGTTAACCTACATTTATCAAATTTAATCTTTATTAGTTTGTTATACAATCATTCCTTATCTTTTATCGCAATCTGTTTACTTTTACATTAACTTACATGCTATTATTTTATTTCCTATTTTTATTCATTCTTATTTTCCATTTTTGTTTGTATCTTCTACACATAATACTTGATATTTAACTACATTGTCACCCACTATATCTCTGATATCATCTTTTTATTTCTGTATCAGACAACTTATTCTTATTTTATATCTACTTATATTAATTTATTTTATTTTCACTATGTTTTGTATCTTTTGTAGCCCTGATGAAGACCTTCAAAGTGGGTCAAACGTCAGCAAAAATTAAATAATTCTACTTGTTTAATTTAGTATTAATTTGACTGCACCCACCGATCAACTCCTTCTCATTTTAAAGCTTGATTAGTATTTTTCATTTTAGAAAACTAAACTTTCAGTAATTTATTTTTATCGCTTTTATTTTATTTTCATAAACTAAGAGGAAGTAAAAGTTGATACTTGAAATATAAAGCTCTGATTTTCTCTATTATAAAATTAAGTGAGCTACGGAGGATTTTAATATTAATGTAGTTTCTTGTAAGTAATTTAGTTTCTTTATCCCCACATATATTATTACAGTAAAGCTAAAAATCGGTTTGTACCAAATATAAGCTCCTGTCACGCTCAAATACCATGAATGGGGTACCATGGGATTCAATATTTCATTGGTTCCCAACTGGTACCCTGCTGGTTCACCAAAATAGCATTTCTTTCTGGCATAGCTATCATTAATTGCTAGAAAAATTGGAAAAAACATATAGCTAGTGATGGACAATATTTCAAATGAAATATTGTTGTAACATTTTTACAAAATATACTTGTATTTCTTCTTTAAAAGGTATTCAAATTTGGAAATTAAGGTTGTACAATGCAATGATAAAGCCAGTTCTGACTTATGGCTGCATGACCTGGACAAAAACCAGCGCTCTAGAAAGATTTGAGAAAAATCCTCTGTACGATTACTGGAACGATCTGAGTAAGTGGAAAAAGATCAATAAAGAACTGATTACAGAAATGGGTCAATCAACATCTTTATATGAAGGCAAGGAGGTTAAGATAAGTGGGGCATGTAGCTTGGAGCAATCCACCATTAGGAAGCTTCTAAATAACAATGAATACCTCAATAGCAGGCAAGCCACCTCATGGTAAAATAGAATTAACGAAGATGTAATTGAGCTATAGCTGGAAAGTATTAGCCCGAGATAGGTAGAGATGGAATAGCCTCGTAAAGACGGGTAAATATCTACGTCTGTAATGTCACCAGAAAAAAAAAAACTTGTATTTTCTAAACAAAAATTGTAATTTCACATTTACACACCTTGTATGATTGGATTCTTTATAAAACAATACTTTTTTTATTTTTTAGAATCGGATTTCCTGCAATGCTTGGAAGTGTTACAATTACCATGGCCTATCTCCTTGTAGCCCATGTCGCTATCGGATGGAATACTTGATTAACAAGTACCATTACATGTATTTTATGTACATATTACCAAATGTATCTTAAACAAATTAATTTTAATTATTTAATATGCGATATTTAATTTAAATAAGTTTTTGTAATTATTATTTTTAAATTGTACACTTTAGTATTTGTTGTTTGAAATGTTAAATCCATGTTTAACTGAAATTGTATTAAAATACAGTTATTTTTCTAATGTTGTTTTAATTTCATGAAATGAACAAATATTAAAAAAAAAACTATATATGTATATACATTAGCAAGGAAAAATATATTAGGTGGAATACTTAAAAAAAAACACAAGCAGAAATGATTAAAAAAAAAAAAAAAAAGAAGGTATTTATAACATTTACAATGTACAATAATTTTATACAAACAAAGAATTATATTACATGTCACTCTCTTTAACTTTTACCAATATGAGATTGAAAGTGAATCAAAATATTCCTCTTATATGATAAATAAGTTTACAATAGTTCTGTAAAGTTGTAAAATCATTAAAAAATATATTTATAAATATATAAAACTTACAAAATTACTAATTTTCTCTAACAAGTCTTGCAGAATTCAAACTATTTAAAAAAAGCTAACCACGAGATGACAAATTTAGAACAAGCAAACATTTAGGCGATCTTAGATCACAATTAACTATCACTTCTAAACAAAAATAAAATAATACATTGTCTTATTCAAGCTGTGATCAGATTAGTCCGAACAAAATAATCAAATGTTATCTTTAAATCATTGAAAACAAAAGTAAATATTGATGCATCATTCTAGAGACATTGAAAGGTCAACGTTGGAATACCATACAAAAAGTAGCCGAATTATCAGTTTATTAATTGTAATATAATATAATTGAAACTTTTATGGTTTATTGGACTTTTTTAATGAGTTATTTCTTAAGTAAATATTTGAAATCCAGTGAACTCTGACATTCATAAAATATGGGGAGGACAGAAACTGCCTTGTGTTCCTATGCTATAATATAACTACTATCCAATGGAACAATGATTGAGACAGAATTTTTCTAGAATGATACATCAATATATATATATTTTAAATGTATAAGTTCGTAATTATGATTTTGTTTGCACTTAACAGATATCACAGTTAAAGTGCCGATATACAACTAGAATTTATTTTTGTTTAAGGTGAAGTTCAAATTAGTTAATAAAATTATTAAGGTTATATATATTTCACCAATTTTTATTATATTCGTTACCATGGCAATTTTTCAGCATCTGAATGCCTTGAAAATGGTGTTAAAAGCCCAAAACGTTGCCATGGCAACGAAAATAAAGAATTAGTGAAAAATAAACACCCTATAAATTGATTTATCGACTTTAATTTATATAGTTAAAATTTGTTTGAATCTGAAATATTACTACCAATAGTTCTTTAGGTTTAAACTTAACCTCTTTAATAATTATTTGAGTATGGAATTTCAATTTTATTTATAACAGAATCATAGGACGTCAAATATAACCATAAAATTTGTTAATTTATCAGATTAGGCTCATTAATTAATTACAAATAAGAAAACTATATTCTCTTCTTTTGGATAATTTTTTTTTTTAAAGCTCAATAAAATTACGTATGATGTATTTTTTATAGAAGTTCAATACAACATAAATTATATCAACACAGATTTAATGAAATTTAATTATGAAATCATTTGCAGCATTTCTACCAGAATGTAAAGATCGATCAGTAATTTATTATTTTATGAAAAAAAGTATTTAAATGCAAATGATCAAAAAATAAGTTATAAAAAGAGTTTACAAAAATGTTTATATACGTGGATCAAATAGACTTATTTGGTAATCAGCTTTCGAAAACCAGAGTAAGTTTTAGAAAGAAGTATAATTTGAAGAATGGCCACCCTTTATCAATATATGGAAATTTATTCAATCTAATTTCGTTGTTACACGATATTCAACATTACTGAAATTGATTTGAGAAATAATTTCTGATAAAGAATGTGAAATCATGTCACAAGAAGTCGAATATATATATATATACACAAAATTAAATCAAAGAAATTATATTATAAAATAACATAAATCATTATTTTTTTCAAATGTTTCTGAAATATTTTACTTTATTGGACTGTTGTTATAATAATTACATTTAAAATTTCTAGCATTGCACCTAAATTTACAATATTTTATACAAAGATCCCAACAAACTATACGAGCTAATGTACTAAATAATCAAATGTAGATATCGTCATAGAAATAGGAAATAACTGGAGTTAGTTTGCTTGTTTGTAATTAGTCTGAATTAGAATTTTATTAGAAGGCATTAATTTTTATAATTTGAAACTATTAAACAGACATAAATTAAAAAAAACAATGAATTAATCTGATTTAAAAAAAAGAAAAAGAAAACAGAGAGTGTTGTTATACCTCTATGAAATAATACAATTAATTTTACAGGTTTCTAAATGATCTAAAAGGTATTGGTACTTTAACTTTTTTTTCTGTATAAAAAGTATTTTTAATAATACAAAAACTAAATTACACAGATAACTTCATGCACAACCTCTTACAATTTCATATCTAAACAATATAAATCGTGCAATGATTTATGTTTCGATCCATTACAAAAACCAAGGATACAATTAATAATTTTTTTTCCTTCTTAAATATTTATATAATTTATAGACAAAGATACAGAGGAAAAAAAAAACAAACCAAAACATAAGAGAACTTCAACATATTCTTCCCTCAATGGTTAAGTCTAATGTCTTTTTCATTTGACCGAGGAAAGTAGATGAAGATGAGACGACAAAGTTTGATAACGAGGACGAGGTTGAAGTATAACGCGACAGAAACGACATGAGAGGAGAAAGAGAGAGGACAGTTGTAATCTTAAGCCTCCTTCAGGAGTGTTTGTTTTTGACCAGATCGTATCACTTTTGCCACAGTTTCGCGCTGCCTCTTATCATTTTCGATTTCATAGATTTCTTCATTTTGTCTCCGTGAGCTACAGCTTCTCGGGAATCAGTTGCCATTGCCTCTTCTACTTCTTGGGACTGACTTTTCAGTGTCTTTTTTATATTTACAACCTAAAATCATTTCATATGATTAATATTTACAGAATTAAACAAATATTATTACGTTAACAATAAAATAAAAATATGACAAATAACAATCTTGTGAAATTTCAGGAAGAAATATCACAACTTTCAGACTAACTATTCTTTATTCATTAGAATGGATGTTTGCTTGTTAAAAAAATAATAAATTTCTTATATCTGAGTTATTACGATATCTAGTAAAAATTAACTGTCTTCTCTTTGGTGAACAAGTGAAGCTCTTTTTTTTATTTTTATGTATATATGATTTATTTTTTCATTTTTACCAACTAAAAGTTTACAATTGCTGTGGGCCTGTACCCTTGTACAATACCTACAAGCAAAACTATTTCAACAACCTATTATATTATACTTTTTACACTAAAAAAAAAAAAAATAATAGGAACATCATCTGTAATAAGGACTTTAAACTTATTTAAATAAGTAAAAACACCCTTTTTTCCCCCTTTAATTGTTTTTAGGCCAAGAGTCACTAAAAAAAATATGTTTTTATTACTATCCTTTTATTGTTGAGGTTTTGGCTTCATGAGCTATTTTTTAGTATTATCTATCATGCACCATTTTAATTTTTTTCTTTTCTTTTTTAAATAATTGAACAAATTCATTCTTGTGAGGAACTGCCTATCTTTCAGGTAATTTCATTTCTATTAAGTATTTGTGTTATTCTCGGTGGACTTCGTACCAGAATAAAGTTATTTTCTATCTTTCTAAGAATATTTGAAAACGGCTCATGAAGCCAAAATTTTGGCAATAAAAGGATAGTAATAAAAAAAAATTTTTTTTGTGACCCTTGGCCAAAAATCAATTAAAGAATAAACAATAATATGGCACCAAAGATAAAAAAAACTGTAAAAATTGTAATTGTATCATTGACAATTATTTTGTGGCGGGTCCACAGAATAAATCTCAATCTCCCCACTCCGTTTAGAATAGGTTGGTGAGAGTTATACCTCTAGAATAACTTCTCTCTACCACATGTAGGAGGTAAAAGGAAAAAAAACACATTGCCTTTATAGGCACTGAATCAGTTTCCATTACTGATTATACCTATATGATTTCCATTAGAATATACCTAGTGCTGTCATAAATAGTGTTACAAAGAAATATGTACATATTTCAACAGAAAAATTATTTTTTTAAAAAACTTTATTAGAAAATAAAATGTATATCTATAAAGGGGAAAACAAAAAATAAATTACTCAAAATGTCCCCCTTTTGCCTTGACACAGGCATTTAATAACCGTGGCCAGTTATCAATAGCAGCACGCAGCACTTCTTGAGGAAAGCGCTCAACTACTCTGATCAGAAATTGTTTGAGGCTTTCCAAGTTAGGGTGTACTCTGTGGCATGCCATCTTCTCCAGTTCACACCAAAGCCAACAATCTAGTGGGTTGATATCAGGGCTTCCTGAGGACCAATGCGAGACAGAGTTGAACTCTGGAATGTTCTTTTGCAGCCAATGCTGAGTTGACCTGGTCTTGTGAGCTGGAGCGGAATCCTGCAGGAAAACCCAATGACTTCCAGCAAACAGAATATCATTTAGAGGCTTGACAACAGGTTCCAAAATATCGTCCTGATAGTTTTTAGCGGCTGTTTTAACTCCAATTTCACAAGCTTTGTGGTGCCATCAAAGCAAACTCCCACCAAACCATCACTGAGGAAGGATGATGACCTCTTTCCACTCTTCCAATAACTTCCTGGGCTTGTTTAGAGCTTTGTGTGTGTACACATGATCATTTTGGGGATTAAATTTTTCTTAAATTGTAAAAATGTTCTCATCACTAAACAAAATTGGTTAATGAAGACCATTGGTGTAACGGCCAAGAAGCACTTTGCATTTATCCACTCTAATTTGGTTTAGGGAAGTGGTTAACCTTTGTCCTGTCATTCTTTGCAATGCACTCATCTTAAGGTCACTTTTTATTATGATAGACATCGATCTGACAGACATTCCTATTTCCCAAGACATGATTTGTTGTTTTCGAAGGGGATTTTCTCTGATTTGAGTAGCCACTGCTCTCACTGCACATGCCGTTTTTTCAGTGCGGGGACGGTCAAGGTCTGTCACATAAAGATAGGGTTTCATTATATCTATTTATAGTGCGGAACATGAACATACAGCTGATACACAAAAGTTTCAAAGAGTTGAAAATCTCTGACCTACATTTTCCAAGTTTGGGTAAGGCGATCACAGCTATTCGGTTTTCTTTATCAACCCTATCCATGTCAACTGAGCGTTAATACAAACTAATTAGGATTATTATCCTGACATATAAAGAAAATAACCTGATAGAGGTAAAGATTGTCTAAATAATACTCAAGGATGTAAACAAAGTGCAGGTTTTGTAACAGTATTTATGGTAGAACTAGTTAATTAGAAAAAAGTAAAACAATTAGTAGAATAGAAACATTAATAAACTAACATTTTATGAAGTTCGTAAAGATACTATTTTGATGATACCATGACGGTCAACTGCTGTCTAACTAAACTTCTCGGTTTAAAACATTTTCAAAGAGAATATTAGGTTTAAAAATGATGGTTTTTAAGTTACCTCAGTGTCGATGGCTTCTCTATGCTTGATGGCTTTATTTTTCTCCATATTGGCTTGCTGCATCTGTTTTTCTACAGCACTCAATACAGCCTCGCAGGAGTCGCACCATTCTTGCAGGGTGTTGATGATGACGCCCAAGTCGGAATCTCTCGTATCCCTTCCGATAGCGTAATCAACTTCCAATTGTGAATTTTTCTGGTCTAATTTACCATGTATAATATCTAAAAAAGATAAAATAAAACTGGAATGTAGACACAAGAAAATAAACCCACTTACTATTACCACTATCATTATTTTGATTAATCAATAACCATTATATATCATCTAACTTTATATATATATATATTGTACTACTGGATAGATCTCTTTTCAGGCTCTCAGGAGCATTGGATTTAGACAAAGAAAGGGAGTATCATGAAGAAGTGACAAATTCAAATTCTATTCTTTAAAATCGTACTTTAACTTTCATAAAATGTCTTTGAAAACAGTTGGAGGTGTGAAAACTGAGATATTGGTAAGCAGAGGGATCGAGATGGGATAAATTATGATTTAAAGATTTCTATGTGGACATCAAAACCTGGAATGTACCAGGCTCTATACACAGGGTGTCCCGTAAATAGAGGGAAATATTTAAAAGGGCGATAGTAAACATCAACATCTACAAAGAAAGTCTTGTAAAGAATGGCCCAATTTCCAGCAGAAAAGTAGGAAATTTAAGTTTAGTGTTTTTTTTGTTGATAAATCATGTTTTTTGTTGAATAGAAAGCGATAACTAAAAAAAAAAAAATACTTGATTTAAGTAATTACCAATTGCGTCACAATAAACAATACAAAATTTACTTAAAATACAAATGGAGTATCATTGTTAAAACCGTTCAAAGTGGACTTTTGAGCGGCTAAACTAAACTATGTTTTGAAAAAAAAATCATAAATTATTAATGATTTTGAAGATGAAGAATGATGTACAACTCTCCACCCAACCTCATACATCTTTTTCCTTATTGAAGTCTACCTACCCTCATCTTAAATCGCGCATCAACAACCTGTGTCACCTTCATCAACGTCTTGCTAATAGCACCCAACAGCGGATATTTCTTCTCAAATGCCGTTCTTATTCCATCTTTCCTAAAGTCATAGAAAACTCTTTTAACCGCTTTTCAATATCACCTCCGTTCAACTCAAAATTATTAAATTCCGCTTTTAAATTTAATAAATCTTTGCTTAACCTAAAAATCCGCAAAACTATTCAAAATATTAATTTTCTCCATAAGCAAATTTCAGTTCTCACCCAATTTTTAGATCATAACATCACCCAAGAAGACGTTAATAATCTCTCCGTTTGCATTTTCAATATCTTTAATTCCACTAAAGCACAGAAGAAACTTATACTTATTTCCAAGTTTAATAATTTGTACCAGGTCACTCTCAAAACCAATATTAATGATTTTCTTTAATCATTCTCCAACTTACACTACAGATATCCAACTTTAAGAAAAACTTTCTTGATTAATAAACTAATTAATTAAGTCCTTACTAATTAATTTAAGGTTTACGTACCTGTGTTTTCATCAAACATCACTACAATAAATTATTGCAAAGCTATAATTTCTTGTTTTCAATGACCTAAGATGTATTGTAATAAATATAAATGCATTTCTAAAAATAAATGTTAAAAACAATAATTTTTGGATTATTCATCATCTAAAGTGATAATAAATATGTTTTTTTACTAAGATTCCTATTATATAAGCGATAAAATAAATGTTTCTAGTCCTAAAATTTACGTTTAAAATAAAAAAACCTGTGTATAAAAATTATGAATAATAATCACTCACTTAGTGATACGGTTTTACATAAATAATAATGATTTAATTGTGATAACAAAAATAAAAATCACCTTTTACACAAAAATTAAATAAAATATTAATATGTATGTATACATTATTAATGTACTATTTTTTAAATATTATATTTCTGAAATCACTTTAATTGTGCAGGCGTTGTCTATACAATTTTTTAATTTTTTTTTTTTGCAAGCCAAAATTTCTAATGAATTTTGGAAATAAAAATGTTCTATTGCTAATAGTTGTTATACAACAATATTCTCGACCTATTACTCCAGACTCAAAATATATCATAGATATTACAAAAAATTTATATTTTTGATTTAAAAAAGTATTACTCAAGAATTATTATTATATTTAATTGTAAAAATTTTGTTAGGAATTAATGACAGGGATATGATTTTTAGAAATTTCGATCAAATTCGATTTTTTTAATTATGGAATTCAAACATGTCTAAAATAAACTTCAAATCAATTGACATGCAATTAAAGTTTAGTAAACAAGAAAGGTTTTATAAAAATGGGGTTTCTGTAGGATGATAAAAAAACATCGCGAATAATCCATGATTTGAGGAATAACACAACTTAGCATAGTTTGGCCGCTCAAAAGTTCCCTTTAAATGGTTTTGAAAAAGATAAATTCTACTTGTATATGAAGGAAATTGTGTCTAGTTTACTATGATGTTTATTGTCTAATTTTGGACAGAATCGGCCATTTATAGTGTAATCATAAGATCTTGACCCACTTGTCAAAATGGAGCAACAATTAAACAGTAGGTATAACTTTACAAGTGTCACTCCAACATGGCAGCTAGGACAAGATCACTGTTGATGGAATTCCAAAAGTGTCTGAAAATAAAAAAAAAAATTTCAAGGGTGAAACCTAGTTTTTATGAAATTGTGACTTCATATTTTGGCTCACTCAAAAGGGATAAACGAGCCTTAATGAGTCCTTTTCAGTTGAGATGAGGGTTTTAATAACAAGAGGATCGGACACCTCTATCTACTTCAAACACACACATAATTCCAGTTATAATGTGATTATGAGATATTGAACCACCTATCTAACTGAAGCAACACTTGTAAAGTAGTAGTCTATTAGTATCGAGAAGTTATTTCAACAATTACTCAATGAGGGTTTAATAAAATATGCTTAAGATAACATACCTGCGTAAATCGCTTCAATGATTAAGTCTTCTAAATCTCTGACATTTTTAATATCCAGTTCTTGTAAAAGCACAGAATATGGAATGCACTAAAATAAAATTGAAGAAGTATTAAAAATGATCATATTATATTCTAATCTGTAAATGCAAGAAGTTCCTTACCTTCATTTTGGTAGCTAATGTAACAATTGTAAGATGCTGAAGTTTCTTTTTCTCAACATCGGTCAATTCAAGAAAATTATTTTTGGTTTCAAGATATTGACGGTATGTTCCATAAGCGAAAAGATTTAGTGTATTATAAGAATTAGCATTCGGAGAATTATCCAACTGAAATTGAAGATTTTTTAAATATTTTAGGATATAAACATCTAAATAACATTAAAAGAAAATGGTGTACTCACTACTTTAATGCTTGGCATATCAAGAAGTTCTCCGAACACATGAACTCCAGGTGCTGATAAAACTTGTCTTACTAGTTCAACTGTTGCAGCTCCATGAACTGATTTTGCAAGGATCACAAATTGTTCTAATGGATTATTGGTCATAGGAGGAGAACCTTTTTCACTTGTCATTGTGATATTGGCCTGTAGACTTGAAAAACTAAACAAGAAAAACAAATTATTTTTGACAGACCTTCTAGTTAATGTTAATCAGAATGCAATAGTCGACAAATCATGCACCAAAAACAATAAAGGATAACAATACTGTACCGATAATTAAACTGCCAATCTGACAACCGGCAACAAAAATAATTTCATAAATAAATTATTCTTCTAAGAAGAATTTGCTAATTGAATTTGTCAAAATAATTGTAAAAGAGACTCCGGCAATCACAAAAACTATTTTAATCGAAATTCTATAACTAACTTTAGATTCGGCACTTTAACTACAATGTCTAGGTTATTGTACAAGCTTCAAATAAAGCAGTGTTGCAGTGTTGCAGATTTTCGTGTTTAAATCAGCAAAATATTAATGCCGGTATATTTACTAATGGCAATTATTATAAATTTTCCTAAAAACTGAAATTTCTTGAATAAATAAACATTTATTCTATTAAAAGTTGTATCATTATTATAGAAGAGAAGTAAATTGTTTTGCGAATTTGAAAATCAGAAGCCCCGCATTCTGACGGCCAATGGAGCAATTATATCCAGTAACGTGGACTTGTGGGAGTTTGACTTGTCACAATGATTATAATGTAGTTGGAGGCTGATAATTTTTAATGGAAATGCATGTTCGAAAAAAGATTAGTTTTTTTGTAAGCATTATTTTCATTACTTGAGGTAATTCATATCGATGGCGATAGAATTTCTATTTACTAGTTATTTTAAACTTTAAAAATACGGTTTTTAATAGTTTTTCAGTCATAAAATCAAATAGTCACAATATGAATGTGGTTAGAACATCAGATGAACTATAATTCAAGTGTTTAATTGTTTCTTTACAGGCCTGTCCATCGTATCACTTGTGTTTTATAGTCTGTCATAATGTCTGAGGTAAGACGTAGGCAGCTACAGTCTACAGAATCACTTAATTCTGTTATGGTCGATATTTCTAACATAAGAGGAGATGAATGGAACATCGCTCTTCTTCTGTTGCTTTATCTCCTCCAAGGGATTCCTCTTGGACTGGCCGCAGCCTTGCCGATGATCCTGCAAAACCGAGGTGCTTCCTTTAAACAACAGGTAGAGAAGGATTAATTATGGATTTTGAAGAAATGCTGAAAGTACCATATGTATATCGTATGTACTAGTATTACGAATCATTTTTTAGCTACTCAGATTTTTTCGTTGATGAAAACTTTCACTAATTTACCAAAATAGGACTTAAAATGTTTCTTGGTGGGTTGAATAGTTTTTTTTTTTAATCAAATAAATCTAGATTCCAACATAAAACATGAATATTAAGTGTATTATTTTATTTTATTAACTGTTAAGATTTAAATCCAAATGTTTGGAGGAGGAGGAGAATAGAGAAAAAGGCTGTAAGCCATAAAGATAAGGTGATTGAAGGTCACGCTACAATTGATTCATTGACTGACTTGTTCATTTTAAAATTCAATAAATAATTATGTTATCTATATAATCTACTAATGCATTTTACGAGTATTCTTCATATTTTAAATTATCTTTATCTTTTATATCTAAATTTATAATGTATATATAGATATATATTTAAATTCGATCTATAGAACACTGTTAATTTATTGGGATAGATGATGCAATATCTTGATTTTATCAGTGTAGTGAATACTATTAATAATTAATATAAATTTCATGAACGTAGGAAATAAATTAAAAAAAATGTATTTATTTTAAATATTTGAATCCTTAATACTGTCATATATATTTATCATTAATTTTTTTAATAATGTATATACATTAGGCATACCATTTTTTATTTTTGGATTGGTTTGGTAAACATTACATTTTTATAATTTCAGAATTTATAATATTTAAGAAGGGAGCAGAAGAGTAGTCTTATACAAGAGATGCCACATAACCACTTTTGTTGTTTATATTTGGGGTTGCAATAAAGAAAACAAGGAAACGAAAACAGGAAAAGTAGTTAAATTCATGACTACAATTTCCTAATCAGCTATTTCTCCACCATGCTGTTTATAATTATGGAATAATTTGTTAAAGAGACTGAGCAGTCTCTGTACTGCTTTCGACAGTGCCAGATATAATGCCCTGAATAAAAACTAGAACGTATTTCGAATCTGAAAATTCAATAAAAATACAATTATTTAATCTAGAATTTTATATATTGATCGCACCCCGATCTAACTTATTCTTAAATTAATTTTTTTTCACAAAATTTATAGTGTTTTTTTGGTAAATTAGACCTATGGGAAACAAGTGAGAAAACAATTATTAACTAAGAAAGGTCAAAAATATGAACTAACAAAAAAGATATAAAACAATAATAGTTAATTTTGTTTTATAAATTACAAATTTGTTTTATTTACTTAATTTCATAATCTTCAATGAATGATGAAAGGGTATGGGGATATAATTGAATAAATTTATAGAAAAAAAGGATATATCAGGCGATGAAACTTTTATTGAACTATTTTAAAAAGTAACATCTTAATGGTTTCTGTGAAACTTTTTTGGAAAAAATTTCATTTTAATTGTGTGAAATCTTGTTAGGAAAAAAGTTTTAAAAATAAAATTTCTATGCAAATTTTTAAAAAATAAAGTTCCAGATTTATGATAAAAGTTTAATTTTTATTTATTCAAGTCCTCATAAAAAGTTCTGTTTAATGAAAAATAAACAGTAATTGGGCTTAAATTAGAGTTATAATTTCTCTTAAACGAATTGCACATGATTCTAATGTGTTGTTCGTTTGAGTAGCTATGAATAAAAGTAATTTTTTTTATTGACTTTTTAGCGAAATCGACAAGACTTTTAAATATAAGAAAATGTTCTAGTTCACAAAGAAATTAAAAACTACCAACAATAAAAATTGCGATGGTACTGAAAATTTTTAAAAATAAAAGTTTTTTTTTCTGTTCAAGCCCTGGAATATATATTTCAATATATTATTCCAGAATTGCTTTGGTAAAACATGGTACCTAAAAGGGACAAGTGTAACCAAAACAGAGATCTGCAATTGTTGCTATTATAATTTTTTGCATGGTAAACCATGGATTAGGATTTAAGAATTAGAAAACTCAAACTTGTATATAATTTTGTTGGGAATTTCATCACCTTTCAAAAAAACAGTGTATAGAAAAACATTGCGCAGCCGCTATTGCATAGGGAGTACCCAATTTGTGTCTGATGATACAGACAGACATCTGTAGTCTAAACCATTAAAATAAAAAGAAAACAACAAAATTGGTCTACTAGTTTCCGAGATAATCTTGACACAGAAAGACAGATCAATGAGTGAGAATGTGTTTTTTGGACTCAGAGGACTCTGAAAAACATTTTTTTTGTCCTGATCATAATTAGAAAGTGAAAAATTATAAAGTGTATGAAAATAATTAATTTTTGCTTATGAATAAAGCAACTGAATTAGAGATACATTGAATGAAATAAAATTAACTGCAAAAATTGGTTATCATTGGTATTCTCAAATCTATATTATTTTTCAGTTAATTTTTGAAATATTTATTATGAAATGTATTTACGTTAAATGTACTTATTTCTTTTTCAGGCTGCATTTAGTTTTGCCACATGGCCTTTTAGTCTTAAACTTTTTTGGGCCCCGATTGTGGATTCCGTTTATTTGGCACGATTCGGAAGACGGAAAACATGGTTGGTCCCTATTCAGCTTGCGATAGGTTGCTTTCTAATATTTTTATCATACAATCTGGAAGCTTGGCTTGGTATTGAAGGCACAGACGAGCCACAAGTTGTATTATTGTCTATTATATTTTTCTTATTGAATTTCCTCGTTGCAACTCAAGATATTGTTGTTGATGGTTGGGCTCTGACATTATTAAGAAGGTAATTTTATTTCTAATTCTATTATTATTCATGTTTGCTTTCTAATATATTTGTGTCAAGTAATGAAATTTCATGTTGTTTGTTTTTTTTAAGGGAGAATATAGAATATGCCTCTACATGTAATAGTGCGGGGCAAATCGCTGGCTACTTTTTTGGATATGTCATATTTATGGCTTTGGAATGCCCTGAATTCTGTAATACTTACATTAGAAATGAACCGAAACCCGAAGGCATAATTACAATGCCAGGTAATCTTAAATTTAAGGTATCAATAAGATTAAATATTTATAGAAACACCTCTTTCAGGTAAAGGGTTTACAGAATTTTCATTTAAAAAAACTTTTGTTTAAAAGTTCTGTCAATTTCTTAAAAAATCAATCTAAAATATGATTTTTACTTTCACTTACGTATATATGTAATATATAGTAAGTGTAAGTATTGCGATCGAGAAAATTTTTGAACCTGAGTTTTCGACGGATTTATATGTTTTGAGGTACCCTGAGTCGAAATGACCAAGTCCCGAAAAATGGTCTGTGTGTCTGTATGTTAGCAGTCTAGCTCAAAAAGGAAAAGTCCTATGAAACTGATTTCACGTATTTAAGATAGGTATATGCCTTAGTTGTGACGGCAACTTTTTCCTTAAAATCGGCTTACCAGAAGTGCCACTTTATATCAACGCTGAAACACATTTTCACAGTTTTCTCAAAAACAGCTCTAACGATTTTGATTAAACTCGGTGTATCATTGTATAATGAAGTGGTCTTTAATATAAATTAGGTCTTATCCCCATTGATGTCACTTTACAGGGCTTAAATGCCCAATGTTCATATACGTCTTCCTCTAAATTACCTTTAATATGGTTTATTTTAAAAATATAATTATTTCGCATTATTCAGAGTTACGAAAAAATGCTAAATATAACTTTTGAAAGAATTTGATAAGTTAATAAAGGAGAAAAAAAATAAAAATGCAGAAAAACGTAGCTATAGATTGTAGGGCCTAAACGAATGTACCGATTTCATTGAAACTTTGCTAAAGTCATTTTCTCGACACCCTTCAAATTTATCTATATAACAATCATCAGCGAAAAGAAGCTGAAAAAAAGTTACGAGGGAGGATAAAATTAAATTCCGAATAACTCAAAAAGTATACACTTTTTTGGGTATGTTGTAATAAGATGTTTCAAAGGTATTTAAATTGCCTAAAAAACAAAAGAAGTTTCATCGAAATCGGAGCACAATTTGTAGAGATATCGCGATTTTTAAATATTTTTACTTTCACTTACGTATATATCTAATATATAGTAAGTGTAAGTATTGCAATCGAGAAAATTTTTGAATCTGAGTTTTCGACGGATTTTTATTTATAGCTACTCAAACAATTAACACAGTCATTTAAGGCAAATGATTCTTTATCTAAGCCCAATCAATGTTTATTTTTCATTTAACCGAACTTTTTTTTTAAGAACTTGAATAAATAAAAGTTATACTTTTATCTTAAATCTGAAACTTTATTACAAAAAAGTTCCTTAGAATTTTTATTTTAAAAACTTTTTTCCTAAGAAGTTGTATAAAATTTTTTTTCGTCTTCTCTCCTTCCTCACCTTTTAGGCTCTACGGGGTTTTCGCTGACCAGGGGGTGAGTGCGTGTGTTTAATGCCAGATTTTAAAGGTCCTCCCAGGAATGGTGATGCGAACTCCTACTTATTTCATCTTATATAACTTCAGTTATTAGGTTGCCGGGCAATGCGCGATGCTGTGCACACGTGTTATCCCGCTGCCCTCTCCTCCCTTCTCCTCAGTTTAACAGAAACTGTTAAAATGGGGCATTTTTTCTAAAAAGTTTCACAAAAACTGGAACTTTAAAAAGTTTTTTTTTAAAGTTCCAGCCGCTGATGCAAACCTTTATTATATGTAAATTATGAAAGTTTATTTAAGCGGGGAATGAGAGACTTGGTTTATTTCTTTATTTTACATACAGATTGTTCTTAATTTACAATTGAAATAATTTTAAAGTAAAATTAAAAGATGATTAAAATGATCTAAAGTAGAGATCCCGAACCTAGAGCTCACAGGCATGAAGTGCTCATGTGACGTCACTCGTGCCCGCCAATTTATACCGTAACGTTTATATGCGATCGCCTTGGCAACAGTTTTACTGCAGATTGACCAGTTTTCGATCAAATGTTGAGTATTTATTTTAATAAATATCTAATACTTAATTGTAAATATGTGTGATTACTTTGAAAATAGTAATTTCTTTTTTCAAACATCAGTATTGTTTTACGTGACTTTCTGCAGATAGATGAGTTATAGATATATAATTCAAAAGTATAAAAAAATGGAATGGCATTGCTGTTAACACTGCATTAAACTTACTTCATACCTAGTTATATCCCGCATTACTTCTTATTAATTTGTAATTCTAATATCATTTAACTAGTTATAGGCCATGTCTCTTTTAATCAATTTTCAATTTTAATTTGAAAATGTGTTAATCTAATATAAGAAAACTATATAAAATTAGTAACATTCATTATACTTGTTGATTTCACCTTTTCTTGAGAAATATGTTTGATTAGTTTTAGAAAATATAAAGATATTTGTTACTATACATATATATTTATTTTTATTGATACCATTCACATTTTATTTTTAAATATTATAAACAGTAATTCGCCTGCAATTTTTAATGGATAAAAACATGGTGCCTGCCATCTAAACATAACCTATAAATGTACCCGCAGGTGAAAAATGGTTGAGGACCATTGATCTAAAGAATTCAATCACAATAAATAAATTAATTCCTGGTTGTGCTAAAAATAATACTTTATTCATTATTTTTTCCATACATTCAGAAACTAGGTAAATTGAAAAACTTCCAAAAAAAAATTCTTTAGTCGAATATCTGACACGTCCTATATCTATATTTTACTGTTTGTCTAAAATATATTGTCTAGTCATTTATAATTTTTTTTTAATATTTATTTTTTAATAATACTTAATTATATTTTAAAGGTTTCTTCTACTTCTGGGGTGTAGTGTACCTGGTCGTAACTGCCCTGGTTGCTTTCATAAAACGAGAGGCCCAGGAGTACTCTTCTAATACGCCAACGATGGCAACGATAGTTCACAGCTATAGGCAGCTCTTACAGATATTGAAGCTGCCTTCTATTCAACTCCTCTCTCTGGTTCTTCTCACTTCTAAGGTAGATTTAGACAATAATATTACAATTATTTTATAATTTTATTTTATTTAAATATTTTTTGAATGAGAAACAAAATTCAGATTGGATTTGTAGCTGGAAAAAATCACAAATACAAGTTTTCTTATTAATTGAAAAATATAATTTTTTTGCCTCAAATTTTCCAAATGAGGAGATTGAGTTCAAATATTTTTTTGAAAAAAAAAATACAATGTATTCAAATTTTTATTTGCCAATTACTCAAAAAGTAAAGAAATGGTATAGCACTGTTTTCTTTTGTAAGTACATATAAAAGTGAATGTGTGGATATATAAAATAGTAGAAAGAAAATTTTGGAGACATAGAAATTCATTTAAGTTTTCCTCTCCATCCCAGATCTTAAAACTGTTTCTCTGGAAAGCCATCATATTCCTTACTTATATATATAATACTGTACTGTGATCCACATATTTTCCTGACCCTTGGAAATTATCTATTATCAAAATGTTACTTAAACCCAAAAAGCCACCAGAATACCCATCCTGGGGAAAATTCTGGAAAATCTCATCCTAAAACGCCTGTACCACATCCTAGATTCCAATCACGTTATCACAGATCATCAATTTGGATTCCGCAGATCCCATTCCACTATCCAGCAATGCCATCGTGTGGTGGATGTAGTCTCCTCTGTATCGGAGCGCGGAATGTACTGTACGGGAGTCTTCCTCTGCATACAACAGGCTTTTGATCGAATCTGAAACCCGGGACTGCTTAACAAACTCTTACATCCTTCATACTTTCTCATTATCCGTTCCTATCTAACTGATAGATCCTTCAAAGTAAATCATAATAATGCCTATTCATCCCTTTTTTCCCAGTCTGCTGGTGTTCTTCAAGGTTAGTATCCTAGGTCCTATCCTTTACACAATTTATACAGCTGACCCAACCAATCCTAACAATTTCATTACCAAGTATGTCGATGGTACATGTGTCCTATCCGTTAATAATGACCCAACCATTGCATGCCAAACTCTTAAATTACATATCACAAACCTGGAAGAATGGTGTTAAAACTGGAGGATTAAAATAAATTACATCAAATCACCTTTACCCTTCGCCGTAACCTATGACTTCCTGTCATACAGTATCCTTTAATAATACCCAACTTATTCCTGTTGAACAAATCCGATAACTTGGAATCCTCATACTAGACTGAAATGATAAGAAACCTGCTCAACGATTCCGACTACTCCAGCACTTACTAGACAAACGCTCTAGCTTCCAGTTAATTACAAAAGGCTCGTATACATGACTACAATAAGATCTATTTGGACTTGAGCTTTGGGGCTCCACTTTTTTTTCCAAATTTCTCTCATATCCAATCCTTACAATCCAAAATCCTTCGTAAAATCCTCAATGCTCCTTACTTTGTCACTAATAAAATCATCCATAACGACCTTAATGTTCCTTGTGTTTCTGACCTGGCCCAATCTTGATACATATCTTTCCATGACAATCTTCCAAACCCTCTCTTTTCTAATCTTGCTTCCTCCTCGATCTCTGATAACCCTCTGAGGCGTCTGAAAAGAAGATGGCCTCGAGATCTCCTGTTGTAAATTCATTTTTAGAGTGCTATCAATGGGTGGTTTCTCAACAAGTGATTTCTTGTTATTACATTCTTGTGTTCATATTTACTGAATGTATTTTTTATTTCTAATACAGATGTAAATATCATAAATAATAATAAAAAAAAGTTTACCTCAAATGTTTAATAATGGTTATGTTTGAATTTCGACCACTCGGCGAACACTAGTATTAGTAAGTTTACCAGCTCAATCTATCAGTCTTAACTTTGTAAGATCAATTAAAATGTAAATCCTCAGTTTGAATATCGTTGTGACTCACCATACTAACTCACTTATTTTAAATCCTAACAGTTCATGTAATGTTTTTTTTTACAACTTCTAGCTTAGATTAAACTTTTAATTTAAAATAATTATTTTGGCTTGAAGAAGATTGTTTACCTGTAGATAACCAGTCCTTTCTGCTCTAGTCGGAGTAATTACGGGAGTAAACAAACAAACAATTGAAAACTATTTATGTTATTTAATAGGTAGGATTTGCAGCTTGTGATAGCGTCACCGGGCTCAAGTTGACCGAAGGCGGTGTCCCCAAAGAGAGCTTAGCCTTGCTGGCGGTTCCTCTTCTTCCGCTCCAAATAATCCTGCCTCTTGTCGTCTCCAAGATTTCATCTAGGCGTCGCCCATTGAACTTACTACTTAAAGTTTTTCCATACCGGTAAGTTGAATTGTGAACATCCATTGTAAAATATTTTAATATTATTTTTTATTTTGAAGTAAATATAACGTTCTTTTGATTATTTATATAGTGTTCAAATGTTGTATTCGATTCACATTGAATAATTGCTTTGATAATATCTTATTTATCTATGGTGTTTTATAGGGTGTTTAGGGCTAAGTGGCCAAACTGCAAAAATGAACTAAGGATCTCAAAACAAGAAAAAAATTTCCTCTGAAGGTATGACCACAAACACTTTGTTTAGGAGATATTCACACCTAAAGATTTTTGTTGTTATGAATTATTTATGTTATATGAAGTAAAGAAAACCTATTTATTTGTTGTAACTACTTTATTAATTAAACGTAAACATTAAATTCATATTAAATGTTGTTCAAAGAGATTTCCTTGAGCATTAAGACAGGCTCGGCATCTTTCTTCAACAGTGGCAGAACGGCACTGGATTCCTGTTATTGTTTCACAAGATTCGACTATTCTTCTTCGTAAGGAATTAAGGTCATTGACTGAACTTGCATAGACTTTTTATTTAATGTCATCCCAAACAAAAAAATCCAGTGGTGTCAGGTCTGGAGAGTGTGCAGGCCAAGCCACTGGTCCTGCACGGCCAATCCATTGATTGGGATATGGGGTATGATTGAGCAAGTAGTTAGAACAAATAAATAGATTTTATTTATTTCATATAACGTAAATAATTCATAAGAATGAAAATCTTTTGGTGTGAATATCTCCTGAATAAAGAGTTTGTGGACATACCTTCAGAGAATTTTTTTTTCTTGTTTTGAGGTCCTTAGTTCATTTTTGATTATTAAAGAAGATCCTGTTTTTAATTTGTAAGTGCTAGCCATGGAAACTACTGAATTTTTATTAAAAAAAAAAAAAGATAAAGTTTTAAGGTATTGAAATAATTGTGATCTCACGAGTAGAAAGTTGAAAATATTTTCAATGTGTTTATAGAATTTTTAAAGTATACTTGATAGTGTTTAATCCTAATTTTACATAGTTAGTAGAATTGTATTGCGACCTTGGGTCAGAAGTTCCTCCTGAGGCACACCCAGCCTCCTCTATAAAGTGGGTACCCTTAATTAAAGAATTAATTAAGGGGAAAAACCTGGCGGTTGAGCGTGATCTCGGTCAAATCACCTCCTTGCACAACCGTTGACCTAGAAACAGTGCTTTCCCTAAATAGTCCTGAACCCCAGATCCTTCATGGGTTGTAGTTGTACAGTAGAATTGTATATATCTTTAAAAATTTCAGCCTAGCAATTATCGTCAGTTGGTCACTCATTTCAACCAAATTTTTTTTACTCCATTGAAAAATATTCGACATATATCCTGGTGTTCGTTCCAATGGGCCCTATAAACCGAGAAAAAAAATTGTATATAATTTTAATAGAAATTTATATTATTTATTTTTGCCTTTGCTTTGCCCGGAATTTAGATTATGTATCGTTCAACTAATTTTTTTGTGTAGTAAATGAAAAAAATGTTTACTAATGTATTTAATGAGTTATAATGTATTATAAATTAAAAAACCAAAAGGTGCTTCCCGTAAAATTGGCCAAGTAAATTGTTGTTATGATGAAAAAAGCAAATTAGATAGCCCTTTTTAGGGCTCTACAAAACTCTTAAATATGAATTGTTATGCAAATTAAAAAATACAACCTTTAATATTTGATTTTCTTGGATGAATTTTTTTCTGTCCGTCAACTAAAGCATTCGTAACTCCTCTGAAGTTTTTTCAAATTAAGCGGAATTAATGCTCTTTCAACTGACATAGCTTTTGGATTTCATTTCTTCAAGATAGAAATTAAAAAATGTCTAATCTGTTATTATTTTGTATCTTTATTTTTAATTTGTTTACCAAGATCAGGTTTATCTTTTAGCTATCTGTCAAATATAATATTTATTCAAAACTGCTCTGGTATCTAGAGTAAATATTTTTTTAGGAAGAAACCAATTGTAGCAATTGTATACAGAATATTTTTATGTTATGTTGTAAATTATAAATTTCTTTTCCACTTCTTTTTTTATTTAACCAGAATGAACTACAACAACGCTTGACTGGGTCAGCTAGTGTAAAATAAAACTAATGGGAATGTTTTTCTTAATTTGTAATTTCAAATGGATTAAATTTATAAGTTATCAATGTGGGTTGCAAGAGTAATAATTTAGCTTTCCAACGATTGTATTAATGTTGAATTTGGAGAAAATCCTGAGAAGTGAAGAATGGTTCAGTTATCGGTCAGAAAAAAAAAACCTCTGAGGAAATCAAGCATTAAATTTTTCAATTTTTTATTTCTGTATTAATTCGTATTTAAGTGTGTCGAAGGACATTAAAAATGAATTCAACTTGAATTTTCATAATAAAAATGTATTTGGCCTACTTTATTATAAGCACCTTTTGGTTTTTGTAATTTATGATGAATTATAATTCATTTAATACAATTGTCAATATTTTTTTCTAATTATACACAAAAAAATAATTCAATTGATATATAATAACCTCAAAATCTGGGTAAAGGGAAGGTAAAAATATATTTAAAAAATATTGTTTGGAATTATATAAAATGTTTTTTTCTAACCTTTTTATTTGTGATGCTGCATCGAAAAATATTGGATTCACATCCTGGTATTGGTTCCAATGGATCCTAGGAGCCAAGAATCTATGCAGGAAAGATAATATCTATTATTCCATTATTTCAAAACAATCGAGAAAGTAGTTAATCTTGTTGCATACATTGTCTGGTGAAGGATGAAAAATATATTATATAACAACAGAAATAATTATATTTTTTGTTTATATTGTAATATTATAATTATATTTAATGAATTATTAATTTGTTTAGACTGGTGTTCAATATCATTGCTGCCGTCTTTGTCTTCATTACACCAGCCATCTTGGTTGGAAGTAGCATGCCTTCTTATTACGTCGCCATATTGCTTGTTCTGCTTGCTCTTCAACAGGTAATACAATTTCACAACAATTTCTTATTTTTTGGTTGTGGAAACATTTATATGATACAGAATGATATTCATTAATGTTCCTTAATCCAATAATAATAATACTGATATAAAAAAGTAAAACATCGAACAAGAAATAGAAATTAGATATTAGTTTATAGTTGAAAAAATTCAACCATGCAGTCTTGTTTTTCTAAAATGTAGCTATGTAACAGTTATGTGCCAGTGTAACAGTTATGTGCAAGCTGTGTAACTGTTATGTGCCAGTGTAACAGTTATGTGCCAGTGTAACAGTTATGTGCCAGTGTAACAGTTATGTGCAAGCTGTGTAACAGTTATGTGCAAGCTATGTAACAGCTATGTGCCAGCGTAAAACGGACCAAGTGCTACAATGATTTTACAGTATATTATGAATTCTAACCAACTCTTCTGATTGATAGCATTCAGTTTATTATTACAAAATATTCACTTCTAATATTCAATAATATTACCAATATTTGACTACTTTATGGAATTAATATGGGTGGGAGAGAAAGGGAATCTTTTCGGGCTGAATATTAAAACATAACCATGTCTTATGAAATAAATATTAAAAATCTATATTTAAAGTATTATTGTTCGTGTAATTATATTTAATAGAACTTCAAGAATCAATTAAACACCATTTCGTAGATAATTCGTTAGTTCTTCCTTTTTCTACCAAAGTATTAATCCTTATTTATAAAAAAAAAAAAAACCTTTCGGGCTGAAGGTTCCCCCCCACAAAATACCCCCGACACTCTTGTCAGACTAATTATTCATGGCACTTAATTATTTATTATAATTAAATAAATAATTAATATAAAAAGTTGTAAAAGAAAATGTTCATTAGTGAGGAAAAACACAAAAATTAATATATTAGACGAGAGAAATATAGAATAATTAATTGTTTAAAATAAAATGTTGTACCATCTATGATTTTTACTTTCAGTTGCTACCAGCTAAATATTTAAAAATTAATATTGCTTTATTACGGGGGCTAATGACTTAAATTGTAAAAAGTCTCATATGATGAAAAGACCTATTTTTACTCAAAGCAGAGTGTTAGGTGAAAGTTGTGTGTTGCGCGCACCAACAAATTCAATTTTTGTTTGGTTTTAACTCAGCTGCAAGCATAAGTTTTGGGGATTTTTGCTCAGCATAAACATAGCAAACTTCTGTCCACTGTTGTCTATGCTCTAAAAGATCATATATGTTTAACTCATTTTTAATGGATCTGATGGTCATCATTCCTGTAAAAGAAGAATTTATGGCTACTATGATGAAGCAAAGGGTAGCTGCTTGCCACCAGCGCTTTCTTTTTCGTTGTCAGATGAAAAAAGTGGCATCATACAGATATCCAGGAATAGTACTTTTATGAGTAATAAAGTAGGCCAAATACATTTTTGTTATGAAAATTCATTTTTAATGTCCTTCGAAACACTTAAATACGAATTAATACAGAAATAAAAAATTGAAAAATTTAATGCTTGATTTTCTCAGAGGATTTTTTTCTGGCCGATAACTGAACCATTCTTCACAACTGAAACCCTAAAAAGAAGTTGTATTTGAGTCAACATTTTAAAATTAGCAGAATGCAATTTTTTATTACAGAACTTTAAAAATAAAAGTTCTGCGAATTTCTTTCTATGTAACACACAATAATTTTACTCTAAAAGGTAATTACTATCATCACAGAAATTATTGAGACCTGATGATAAAATAACAAAAACCTCTTTACAAATGGATAAAAGTAGAGAAAGCATTATGAAATAAGATAATGAATTATCTGAGCTCCTGATTAGTGACGAAACTTTGATAAACGAGAACTATGTTAATGAACTGCCAATTTTTAACCACTATATGATCAAAGATTTTGTTTTATCATTATAATCGTGTATTAATAATTTGGTAGCTTAGAAATTGAGAAATCTGCATCAGATTGCTATCCTATTTGAAAGAAAATTATAAATCATTTTCAAGAGTTAATGAATTTAAACTAATTTGTTATTGAAGGAAGTTAATCGACTGTTCTACTTATCATGGGTGATAAATATTCAGGACGCAGTCATTATAAAGTTTTTATTAGTGCCGACATTACATTACGTTATGTCAACCCAAATATGTGGATCATTATCAGTTGACTCTCAGTTGAGTGCTCGAAACATGCTCTCATGATGACCCACATATTTGGGTTGAAACGTCGGCACTAATAAAAACTTTATAATGACTGCGTCCTAAATATTTATCACCCATAAACTACTTTGTATTTTAGCAACTTAATTATGTGCTGTATTTGAAAAGTATTAAAAAGCCTGAGATTTTTTGAGATTGACACATACTTTGTTTTTACTGGCAAATTTATATCTCATAGCCTGTTCTATGTTTTTCAACATAAATTTTTTTTTTTAATTCACAAAAGGAATGAATATTTTAAAAATAATTGGTATCCAGTCTTCAGTTGTGCAAGGTGGTGATTTAACCAAGATCACTCTCAACTGCCAGGTTTTTACCTTTAATTAAAAGTGCTCACTTTTTAGAGGTTGAGTGTGTCTCAGTAGGATCTTCTAACTCCAAGGTTGTTTCAAAACTAGCGTAACAAATCAAATAATTACCTCTCACTGCTGAACTCAAATGCAGGATCAGGGAATTAGGAGCACAGTGCCTTAATAAGAAGACAAATATATTTAATTACATAGCCATAAAGCTATATGATTAATATAATTTAATTAATTTTTGTAGGTGACCGTAACTACGATGTTCGTTCAATGGATGGCTTTTTTTGCGGTGATATCTGATCCAGTCGTTGGAGGGACTTACATGACCCTGTTGAACACTCTTAACAATCTCGGCGGCACATGGACGACCACCACTGCCCTTGCCCTGGTTGATTTTACTACTGTCAAATCATGTTCAAACTCTACTCTGAATAATGATTGTAGCTCTCAGTTGTTGAAAATGGTAAGCTATTCTTAAATTACTATAAATAGATGAATTAATTATAGCTATATACAATTGTTCTAAGGGTATTACTTTACTTTAATTGATTGGGTAACCTGACATGATCACTTATTAAATCAATTATTTAACTGTTGGACCAAAATAAGTATTTTAATTTTAATTTTATCTTTCCAGGAATGCGAGAAAGCTGGAGGCAATTGTGAAGTACAGCTAGATGGTTATTACATTGAGACAGCGTTACTTACGATTGTAGGATTCATTTGGTTCAAGTTCTGGGGCCAAAAGATCCTCTTGAGCCTCCAATCAAGGCCGATGGACGCCTGGAAAGTGCGGTCTAGGTAGCGATAAGTCAGAGGCCTGACTTGCTCTCGCCTCAGAGGATCTTGATCTGAAACGGTTTAACCTTATTTCCAGCCGTCTAAAAATGATATCCCTTATTAACGTAAACTACTTGTGAAAATGATGTTAGATTGTTGTTCTATTTGTTAACATCGTGATCTTGTATTATTTTGTTTGAAAATGATTTTATTTTTTTAAATAACTATTCTTTAGAACTTGAAAGGTTGTGATTTTATTTTTACATCGGAGTAGTGTTCTTAAAATTTCAGACACAAATATATACACACACACAAAAAAAAAGGCTCAAAAGTATATTCGATGACATTTTCTCGTAAATAAGCTGATTCTGAGTAACAGTGTGTAAATGTGTTCTATTAATCGATGGTATTTCGAGTATGTATAGCATTCCGAGCTTCAATGTAGCAATGTTGTGCATTAAAACAGCACAATTAAATATTCCAAAGTTGGTTCGATTTCATATGAAAGAATCCTTTTCTTGATTAAGATGTTTGTTTATATTTTACTATGGTGTTAAAATCTCATAGTGTTAATCTCTCTCTAAATGATGTTTTTCCTATTTGACGAATTTACATTTATTTATTCCATGATCATAGATTTTGAATGAGATACGGATGTACGAATTTATTGTTTCAGTATCTTCTTCGAAGTTTCTAATAATTTAAAATTAAAAAATAGTTTTCATACCTATCCTTGATAAACTGTTCTATTTAAGTTTAACATTTGTTTCGAAACTTTTTTTTTTTTATATAACTCAAGTTATTTATTTTAAAGGCTCAAAATTTTATAAAATATTGATTTTAATATATTCAGAGAAAATTTTGACTGCTTGCCATGAACCTTATAGTTATCATTTCACTTTCTTATTATGTTTTTTATTTATTTATATTTTTTTACTTGATTGTTTGAAACTAGTACATTCCAGTTAAATTATGAATTGAATTCAATATAAACACTGCTGGTAACCAGTGGATTTTCTTTATTTAGTATTAATATTATTTTTTTTTAAATTTAGTACAAAGGAATAACTCTTTTAGACGTGGTAGTTATAGCCCCAATCATAATATCATAAATTGTATATTTTGTTTTGGAAAATATAAGCCTGGCCTAATGACCAAACGTTCCTATCATCTTTAAAATTTATCTTTATTTAGCATAAATTATTTAAAATAGTTTTGAGCTTCTTAGAAATCAATAATTGACCAAGTTGTTAAGAAAAATAATAATTAAAAAAATCAATAATTAATCCATTTATCACTGCAACTCACCCTTAAACTATATATTGTTAATAAATCATTATTTATACTTTGTTATGATTGTATGTTGGATTGAGTTAACGAAAAATTGTTGATAGTCAATTGAACAGTATTATCTAATTTTATTTAGAAAAATAAACAAAAAATAAAAGACATTGTTTTATTCTGAATTTTATTTCAGTTTCATGACATAATATTCATTTACTTATATATATATTTTTGTGATTTGATATATTTATGTAATTTGTTGTTTAACAGTTTCTGAAGTGTGAGGATTTGTTGAGCTCACATTTGAGTATTATGTAGTGTAATACACGCTCTATTTAAATGTTAAATGTTGAAACTGTTATCAGGGCAGCTGTATATTGTATTGTTATTGAGAATTGAAAGTAAAATAATAATGGAATGGATCGGACGAAACAACAAAATTATAAGAATATTGATATATTAAACTGAACTTTATAATTATTTTATCTCAGGTATGTGTTACTAACTCTCGGATCAAAACCCTGAGACAAACTAATATTAACTACACTAAACACTGTTTGATTTTAAAATAAAGTCAAGAATGAATTGGCAAGCTAACCTTTTTTCTTGCACTGTTTCTTCCTTTGTGACACTGAATTCATTTACCTTCAAGCACTTTATTATGTTCTGCCAAACACAACTTCCAAAGTAGTGACACTTTCCTCTAATCAAATCAAGCTTTCTGGGACATCCTCACTTGTAGTTCCTAGCAATCAGTGGTCCAGCCAAGCAACAACTGCTTGCAAAAAGAAAAATACTTTTTCCCTCCCCTCTTTGGGATTTTCCTTTTTGGGGAAACTACAGAGCAGTCATTTTCTTTTCCCTGAACTAGTGAAATTATTTTTCAAATTTAAACATCCCCCAACATTAACAGAACTAGATTAGCTTGCCTTTTAACTGTTCAACATTAATTTACCAAACCATTTTTACCAACTTCCAATAAAGATGTATATTACAATATATGTATTTTTTGATGTGTTATAAAAAAAAAGTTTATCCATTCCTGCTTCCCATATTTTTCATTTGAAGTTTAAATTATAATTTTTTAAAAAACATTTTATTAAACTTCTCAGTTAATGTTTTTTTGTTTTCTAATTACAGTCCATGATTACACTTTCTTTTACAATTACAATCTAGTTTTAAACTTTTGATATAGATTTTCTCTATATTTTATAATCCTTTATATCGTCCATAAAATTTGATTTATTCTTTTCAAACACTAATTAAGTGTATGAATTCATTTTTTAAATTATTTCGACTTATGGAATTTTATGGCTGGCATAGATTGATAGTAATAAATTTTATGGTATAATATAAAAAAAATTGTAACAATAATTTAAATCTATTGTTAATTACATAGTTTTTATAATATAATTTCCTTATAGATTTACTAAATTGATAATATTGAGAGTTCTATTAATCTACTAAAAGTTTGATTAATAGAACTAACAAATAAACTTTTCAATATAATCCATAAGAGATAACTTGAATTTTTAGTGTTTCAAAAGATACATAAAAAATAATTCATTTATCCATTCCAGTTTTCACCATATTGTCGATAAAAATGCTAACTATCGAATCTTGAAATTACCAATCTAATATTATTATCAAATCAGCCAAAACAATGTTTAGTTTCCATACTAATACATGCTTTTATGAATATTTAAAGATTTTGTATTTGGTCTTTAAAAATATTTAATTATAATTACAATCGCTAGAGTGCAGGATTAAAATTTTTTTATATTCGATAGTTAACATTTGTATCGACGATACGTTTATTTTGTCTTTTTAAAAAATTGAAATAAATAATCATAACTGTCTGTTTCATTTAAATACATGTATAAATGGATTTATTTGAAAACAAATATATATAAAATATTTATAATAGATTAGAAATATATTATTTGAAGTCATCGATGATGGGGCTTGTGGACTTTACTTCTTTGTTTGTTGTTGTTAATTTTGGGTGTGAAATTCTTATTGAAAAACAAATGTTAATTTGTTTGAAAACTTGATCTTTGTTCCCAAATAAACTATTTTGTTATAATATGTTTGTTTTATTTATTTATTTTTTTGTGCCTTCTATAACTCCTGAAAACAACAATTTACAATTGTATACTAAGGACTTCAAAATATTCATTGCAATGGAAATACTCACTCATTAAAATGATTCACAGACCCGGACATAAAGAAATATACAGTCCTTCATCTTACAGACTCATTAGCCTCCTTCCGATTGGGTCTTAAGTTTTTGAAAAATTAATATACTTTGGTATGTTGACATATTTACTGACAGACAGATAATACCTGACCATCAGTTAGCCTTTCGCACATTCCATTTGAGGACACATCCATTACACAGATTTACTGAATACATTGCTGGAGCTTTAGAACAAAAACTATGCAACAGGTGTATTTTTAGATGTTGCTCAGGCATTTGATTGAGTCTGGCACCAGGACCTTCTCTCTAAACAGGAGAGTATTCCGCCGTACACGTAATATCTTATCCTTCAATCTTTTCTCTTTGACAGATTTTTCTCAGTTCGACAGTGGACGGAAATGTCTTCTTGGCAGGAATTCCCCTAGGTTTAATATTGGTTCTTCTAATTTATAATGTATACACTTACGATATACCTATTAATGTCTCAAACTTTTAAATAAAAATATATAATATATTCAATTGCTTTAGTAACATATTTTCAAATATACCAATGTGCAAAAAACAAACTAAATATATAAACATGAATTAGTTTATTTTTGTATATAGTACATTGTTCGTTTTACAATAATTATGTTGGTTTCGTTAATTAACACTCATAATTTGTATACATAATGTAAACTCATGACACTTTTTTTTTGAAGGGGGAGTCCATCGGCCCCCAACCAGAATGAAAACTGCGCAGTATGTAGACAGAGATTGGTGTCAAGAGCATTGGTATAGCTAAGCCTTGCTATTGTTATCTTTCCTCTTTCTCTATTTAAACAGGGGATAATAGGCTACCAGCAGATTTAGGATGGAGTTGAGGGGGGGCACCTGGTAAAATCTCGTCCTGGGCGTGGAAAAACCAAGCAATGGGCCTATTCAAAGGACTTAAGGTGAAAGTCTCTGAAATGTGGCCCAGCTCTCACAGCTCAGTGACTGTACATTTATCACGTTGAGAAGGTTCCCGGTTCAGTACTGGGTTCAACTATGTTCTTTTGTGGGCAGGGTGGCCGAATGGGATAACGAGTGTGCACAGCACCGCCGTTGCTTGGCAACCTGACAATTGATAACTGGATAAAAGTATTCAGGAGTTCGTGTTCCGTTGCCTGGGGAGTCTTTTAAATCCCCACCCTCACCCTCTGACTCAGGAAAACTCTGTATAGCCTTAAAGTTAAAGGTGAGGAAGGGGAGGACCAAAAAAAAAAGCAATGTAGCCCATCCCAAAAGTTTGGAGATACCTGGTCAGAGCGATGTTGGGAAATTAGAAGATAGTTTTGTTGTAGTCCTTTATTTCAGGGGTGCCCGTCGCCTCCCAAGATTGATGACGCAACAGCCTAAACCCTCCCCTCACCCAAAATATTTTATTGCTCATCTTTTCTTAAAAACAGAGAGATAAAAGTATAATTAGAAAAATCGTAGATCATATACAATTACATTTGCTGTGGTATGTTCCATGTTTTCTCATTGAACCTTTTTCTGAAACTTTAGATTTCGAAAAT